AAAATATTTTTTTTAAATTACCACAAAGATCCCCCGATTCCTTTTTCCAGTCAATCATTTTTGTGCATCGTCTCAACGATTTTGTTGCTTTGGTGTCAAGAAGTAAAGGCTGACAACTTTAATTTTTTAAAAGAATTTTTTAAAATTTATTTAAGAAACTCTTTTTTGTCAAAACAAAATTTATTTGGATTTTTTGCCAAAAAACAATCCTAAAATTACAAAAAATATTTTTAAATTAATTTATTTCCATACTTTTACACAAACACCAAATTCGCTAGCAGTATTAATTATCTAAAATGCTAAAAATATTTAAAAATTGGGAATTTTAAAAAATAATTTTTAAAATATTTTTTTATTAAAAAATAATTTTTTTACCTTCCTAATAGGCCCATCTAAAATAAAATTTATTTTTATTTTTTAATTAAAAATAGCTCCAAACCAGTTAAACTTTTAGTAAGTTGTTTTTGTGTCTTTTCTATTTTCTCTACTCCAAGTCGAAACAATTCTGTTATATTTACTTTTGGAATTTTTTTATCTTCGAAGTTTGGTAGGCAACTAGAAAATTTTAATAAAAAATCAGAATTGTAGAAGGAAAAAATTAAATCAGAATTTTTATAATCAGAATTTTGTAAATTAATTAAATTTTTCCGGAAAACATAATAATTAAAAGTTTCCGGAAGAAATTATTTTTTTATAAATCATTCTTCAGGAAACACATAAAATTATATCAATTAAAAACAAAATTTCCGGAAAACACAATTACTGAAATTCTGATTTCAAATTATAATTGTATGTGTTTTTCTGAAAATCTTTTATTAAGTTTTTCCGGAAAACACATAGTAGTAAGTATAATTAGAAATCAGAATTTCCCCGAACACACAATTTCCGGAAATAATACAAAATTAAAACTAACGAATCAACATTGTCTTCAAAACATTTTATAAAATTTTCTAAAAATACATTTTTTTAAATTAATTTTGTATTTTTTCAATACCAATTATTGCATCAGCCCTACCAAAGCATACTCTCAATTTATCTGGGTGAACAGTAATTTTTGCTTAAATAATTTATAAATTAATTTTATTTTATTTAAATTAATTAATTACAAAACATATTCCAACAAGTATCAATACACCCCATTGCTTGTTCTTGCATCTCAACGATACATGCACGTTGTTCTTTTTTAAAAATAATTTTATAAAAAAATATTTATTTAATTAACCAGCACATGTACATTGTCTAATTTGTCCACCAACTATTTTTGCTTCCTCAATTAAAGCTGTACCTTGACGAGTCCACTAAAAAGAAGAATAAATGTGCTTCCTGTTTTTTTAATTTCCGATAAATTCCCCAAAATTTAAATTCCTAACCTGGTCGATCACATCTTCACTTGAGGGTTGGACGTAAATTATTAACAAAAGAAAAAATACAAAGATTCGTTCCCAGCAGAGAACTTTATAAAAATGAAGCAAGTTCATTTCTGCTAATTTTGGGATCTTTTAAATAAAAAAGTAAGAAATATTATATTTAAATCAGAATTTTTCAACAAATTAATTTTTCTAAAATCGGCTGTATGTATTTTCCGGAAATATTATTTATAAATTATTTTATGAGTAAGGTTCTATTCAAATCAGAATATTTTATATATTTCCGGAGAAGTATATGCCTATTTCTTTATATTTTTTCCGGAAAATATATATACATATTTATAAATCAGATTTTTTTGTGTTTTCTGTAATAACTTTAGAAATCAGAATTTCCTTTAATTTCCGGAAAATTTGTATTTTTCCAGAAAAGATATAAATCAGAATTATTTTTTGTGTTTTTGTTAGAAATCAGAATTTTTTTGTGTTTTCTTATATAATTTTAGAAATCAGAATTATTTTCACAAATTTCCGAAAAATTTATAAACTAAAATTATTTTCTTGTGTTTTCCGGAATTTTAAAAACAATTTTAAAATTATATTTCCAACTACTATAAAGGAAAGAAACAAACAAATAAAATGAGGGAAAAACAAATTTTATATTTTAAATGGGCAAAGTTTTAATTATTTTTTTATATTGTTTTTGTTAGTTGGTTTGTCTTGATTGTACACATTTTAATTTTTTTTGCGCAGCAATGATTGTGAAGAAGAAAAAGATGAGAAGAGAAAAGGTGATTTAATGTTAAATTTTGGTATGTGCAAAGAAAATGACTGCGCAATTTTTATTTTGTGACAGTTTAAGAGGACAGAAGAGGTGAAAAATAGAAAAGAAAAAAAATTGTAGTTGTTGGGGGGAGCGGCCAAGCTCTCTCAAAAATTAAAATTGCAACTGAAATGTTGGAAAATGTTGTGTGGAATAAAGAAAGAAAGGAGTAAAGGAAATTTTTAAATAAGAGAGTAATTAGAATTATTTTGTGTTTTCTGTAATAATTTTAGAAATCAGAATTATTTTTACTAATTTCCGGAATGTGTTTTCCGTAATAATATAGGTATATTATATGTATTCCGGAATAATAATATATTTTCCGGAATATGCAATAATATGTATGTTTGTATTTTACCGGAATATAATTATTCCGTGGTTTCTGAGTGTTTCCGGAATATTAAGAAAAATCAGAATTATTTCCGGAAAAGAGTACAATTGTATATTCATTCCCATGTGTTTTCCAGAATTTTATTAAAAACCGAGAAAAATAGAATAAATATTTTATTTGTTAATAAACTATTGAATTTAAAGTCTGAATAAATATAAGTATGTAGAATAAAATAATTTAAAAAAATATTTTTAAACTACACATATTTAATTAAATAAACTAATTTATTGGTAAAAATTTTATTCAATCAATTTTGCTTTTTTTATTGCGCGTTCAGAGGTTCACGGGCAATTGCACGGCAAATTTTTAAATTTATTATCATTAAGACAAATTATGAGGAAGAAAAATACATAAAATTTTAGTAAAAAATAAAAAAATATAAAAAAAGTTTTGTTTTTGAAATTATCTAACTTTATTTTTATTTGAAAATAAAGATTAAAATTTGATTTCTTCAAGAATAAAAAATAAATAAAAATTATTTTCTGCTAATTTTATTTCTGTTGCAAAAAAAATAATAAGAAATATGTAATAGTAAATAAAACCCTAATTAATTAATTTTTAAATAAAAATCAGAATATAAAATCTGCAAAAAATATGCACATTATTGTTTTCCGGAAAGTTTAAATTAAAATGTGTTTTCCGGAAAAATTTTAATTTTAGTCTTTAAAGAACAGAATATATGTTTATAAAACACAATAAAATACACATGTTTTTCCTGAAATTATTATGATTAAATATATTTGTGTGGGGGTAGCGCAAAAATTGTTTATTTTTTTATACAATGCATAATAGAAGCAACAAATCCTATTGTTAAAATCCAAAAATATTTGTGTGAAAATCTGCTAAATATTTTATTTTATTGTATTTTTTTATCTTTTTTGAACAAACACAATTTCGATTATCAGAATATTTAGAACATAAGAATATTTAATTAAAATCAGAATTTCTGGAAAACACAAAAAACAGAATTTATAAATCAGGATCTCTGGAAAATAAAAACCAGAATTTTCTAAATCAGAATTTTTTTTTTGAAAAAACACAAAAACCAGAATTTTTTCAGAATATTTATTTAAAATCAGAATTTCTGGAAAACACAAAAAAACCAGAATTTTCTAAATCAGAATTTTTTTTTGAAAAAACACAAAAACCAGAATTTTTTCAGAATATTTAAAATCAGAATTTCTGGAAAACACAAAAAAACCAGAATTTTCTAAATCAGAATTTTTTTTTAAAAAAACACAAAAACCAGAATTTCGATAATTTAAATTTTAAAATAATTTGTAAATTGAAAATGTAATTTGTAAATACAAAATTATCAAAAACATTAAAGGAAAAACACAAACTTTTATTTATTGCAAATTTTCTCTTGCCTTCTAAAAAGGTAAAAGCGTTCAATTAACTAACAACTATATTTCCACCTTCCCCCAATTCCAGGCCTTAAATAATAAATAAAAACAGGATTTTGAAAATAAAATTTCTTTTTGGATGACTGTTTTTAAAGTCAATAAATATAGAAAAATTAATAAAAAAAATTTTTTTGCAACAAAAAATAAAAATAAACAGGTTTTTAAAAGTACTTTTAGCTTATCAATTTATATTTTTTTATCAACACAACAAAGTTTGTTAATATTATTTAGTTACTTTGTTGGTGGCCAAGTAGTTCATCAAATATAGACAAAAAAGAGAACGCAACAAAAACTGTTTTTAGTTAATTAAATATTTAGTAGTTAATTTACTTGTCTTCCAAAAAGTCTGCAAGTTTTATACGCAAAGTAATCTATATTTTATTTTGCCAAAAAATATTTTTAAAAAAAACTGTTGGAGAGTACTTATATACTAGGGTTGTACCTCGACCGTGTTCAAAACTGAAAATTTTTATATTTTTGTCAAAAATTAACCGTGAAACTTCTGAAAATGAGTGATTTTATTAAAAATTCCCCCAAAATAAAACCGGTATTTGTCTAAAACTCAAAACCGAAAAACGGGTTTTTAAAATTTGGATTAACCGAAAAATGGGAGGGGGGGGGGGTACCGGTTAATAACCGGTAGTGAACAACCTTAGTTTATACCGGTTGTAGAATAAATTGTATAACTTGTGGACTAAATGTACTTGCGGACATAGGGCATAAAATGAAAAAAAACACTAGAAAGTATGAATTAATCAAACTAATAATTCTTAATTTTCATAAAATTTTAAATTTAAATTTATTTATTTTTTATTTAGAAAAAATAAAAATTAAAGTAAATTTTAAGTTAAAAATGGGATTTGAATGTAATTTAAGGTGGCCGATTCCAAAACACCAAATGACCGTGCTCTCAATATAATATGAGGCGAAAAATTTAAAAAACGAGCTTCTAAATGAAGGTGTGTTTCGGAGGCCAACTTAAACTTTTTAATTAATTAATTATAATTTTTAATTTTTTAATGAGAATTAGGTGGCTGGGATAGCATTGAATTTCCTCCTCCCAAATAATTTCTGTTAATATGTTGTTGCTGTTGTTGATGGAAAACATCCATAAAAGACAAATCTAATTGTTGTAGAGGCTGTTCTGATGACATTCTTAATTGTTGTTGGCCTGGAGGAAGGCCTAGAAGACTTTCCACGTTGGCAGAGTCTAATCTTTGGCCTAGCATTGCTGCGATCTTTTTTAAATTTTAAATAAGTATTTTAAATTTTTTCTTCAAAAATCGAATAATTTTATGTAAAATTAAATAAAAATAACAACTTCATCCCCAACATCCATTGAAATGCTTTGTTGAAATTCGCTAGGCGACCATTGATTTGACATAGGTGAAGGACTGTCACTGGTAGAACCCAGTTTGCTGCTTAAAACAAAATGGGATAATAATAAAAATTATTTCAGAATTTTTTAAAATTAAATTTCTGATAAATTCTGATCAATTTCTGATTTTTTAAAAATAAATTCTGATTTTTCTAATTAACACAAAATACAAACAAACCCTACCTAGACATAGTTTTAGCAACCATAACAATTTCAGAGCCAATATACCCCGCGGGGGACTCAAAAATTTTACACCGTTCTTCGGTATCAAAATGTGCAAGCATTTGTTCTTTATCAATATCTGGGTAGAGGTATGGCACCTCTTTAAGTTGAGGACAAGACTGGATACGTGAAGCTAGTGATAATTGGTCTAGATCTTTTATTGTGAAAGGCGCCAGGTGAAAAGGAACTGAAAGAAATAATTAAATGTATTTTCTGTTATTATTTCAGAATTTGTATATTCTGATTTTGAATTTCCGGAAAATACAAAAGTATATTATTGCTAAATTCCGGAACTATTAATTCTAGATATATGCTTCCGGAAAGAGATATTAATAATAAAAATTCCGGAAAACAAATATTCCGGAAAATACAAAAATCCGGAAAATACAAAAATCCGGAAAACTTTATAATTGTGTATATGCTTCCGGAAAGAGATTTTAATAATAATAAAAAATCCGGAAAATAAATGCATTATTCCGGAAAACACAAAAATATATTTTTATACTATTCCGGAAACATTACAATTGTATTATTCCGGAAAATATTATCTATTCCTGAAAGAAATATCTAATATAAAACACATTCCGGAAATATCTAAAATACATTCTGATTTCACAACGTATTTTCCGGAAACTTTATAAGAGTATTTTCCTTGCCTTTCACTCCATCCTCCTCACAAACAAAACCTAAAAAAATATTTTTGTCCAATTTATTAGAAAAATTTTTCCTACCAATAGAAACTGCGCCAGTTTGTGTATCAGAAAATCTAAGCAAAAATGTTGGATTCTGACACATTAACATACGTTCAGAAGCTTCATGTTTACTAATAAAACCAACTAACCAACCTTTATTTAAAAAATATTTTTTTTAATTTAAATTAATTAACCATCATCCCAAAATTTAAGTAATTTTTGTTTAATTAATTGCATAATTAAAAAGAACCATTCCCAAAAGGAAAAGTTGACGTCTTCTCGAAGATTTTGCTGTTAAATTTAAATTTAAAAAAATTAAAAAAATTAATTTTCACTTTAGCAAAGCGTTGAAAGGTTATTGGTTTATTATCAGGAGTAGAATGGATAATTCCAAGTTTATCTCCAAGATAGGCCAAGTCGCTGTCGCTTAGAGGACGATGAGCGCCGGTAAAGAGGGTAAATTTGTGACGAAGTACTTGACTGAGAATTAGAAGAGAATAAATGTATTTTCCGGAAAATTGTATTTTATATTGTATTTTATTATTCTGATTTATAATTTCCGGAAAAATAGGAGTTCAATTACAGTTCCGGAAAATACAAAAAAAATATTTAGAATTAAAATTTAGGATAATACTATTATATAACTCCATGGGCCGTAAAATAAGAGCTCGGTCACCTGACGAAGGTTAACTGACCATGGTCACCTAACCATCGTTCCACAAGGCCTTCGTTAACCTTACGACCGTCTTATTTTACCGGTAAAACCGCGATTGGTGATTACCTAACCAGCAACCGAGTTCCTATTTTTCGGCCCCTGAAGTATAATAATTTAAGTATTTCTGATCTGAAATCTCCGGAAAATACAAAAATATTAATAAATAAAACACATAAAAATAATTCTGTTTTTAAGTTCTCAGAAAAATACAAAAATAATTCTAGTTCAAATAAATTCCGTATTTTTGTATTTTTGTATTTTTATTCTGTATTTAATTAAATACCTGAGATCACTCCAAGATACCATAATAATTTCATCTGAAGTATTTGACCGATTAACAGGAGAAAAGGCTCTCTATAAAAATTAAAATAAATAAATTTAAGATTTATTTTACACACCTGCCACAGAATTACTGCTTGCGCATCACAGTCTTGAGAACCATGAACTGTTACCTTTAATTAATTTTAAAATTATTTTTATTAATTAAAAATACCATTATAGGCAATGAAAGTGTCCAAACATCGAATTTTCCCAAATTTCCGAGCTAAAAAATTAATAAATGTTAATATATTATAGTAGTAATGTGAAAAGGAAAAGCATAGTGTGAAGGGAACAATGAAAAAAATATTTAAAAAATTTTTTTACTTGAAATGGAGTGATATGAAATAGGAGAGCATATCTAAAATATTTTCGAAGATTTAAAATATTTAAAAAAATTAATTTTTGTTTACTTTTGATCGGTAGCGGTTTGAGATATTTGACTGGGCTGTAGACTGCCCTTTGCAGGTGGTTTACGATGTGCAATACGTGTTAGTTTCTAAATATATAATTTATTTGAATTTTTTTAGAATAATATGTATTATTTAGCGTGAAGAGAACATTATCATAGATCGAATGGAAGAAAAAAAGAATTAGGATAAAAAATCCAAATGTTTATTAATTAACAACAAATTTGTTAAGTTTTAAAAGCAAGACAAATCTAATAAACTTTTTGCATGCTTTTAGGTTCTTGCAAATTTCAAAAAATCGTATAAAAAATCGAAAACCAACAGAATTATTAAATTTTGCAGACATATGCCCACGTTCATCAAGAATAAGCTTTTCAAGATCGTTACTAATCGAGCCAACAATTTTAATATCCTTTTCATTAATTTGGCCAGTCCCCAACATTTTAGCCTCATCTTCAGCTATTATTTTGACGGTAACATTGGTGTTAACTAATTGTTGTTTTATTCCTAAACGGTCCCCAATTAAAAGGCGAACCTTCAAAAAATATATTTTAAAGATTCAATAAGGGATTCAAAAAACCTCCGCAACAAATTTATGTTGAGTTTTAAGTACAGGATCTGGCTGAACTGCCACAACAAAAGATTGGGATACTAACATACAAAGCATTTTTGTGAGAGTTTCGAGTATTTGGGAAAGGTTATTGATATGTGTTGGTATACAATTATCTGATAATTGTGCTGGCCGTCGTAATAAATCCAACTAATAAATTAATTTTTAAATTAAATTTTATGTAATAGTTATAATTTAATGACCTTAACTTGATCTAAAACTAAGATATAAATTTTAATTTTAGGTTAGGTGATAAAAGGATTAAAGGTTATGTATAATAAATATATCAGAAGAAAAAGGGAGGAGAATTAAAATATATACCGTATTTACTCGATAATACCCATGGGGAATTATTTTTTCAACACATCCATGGCATGGGGAATTATTCAAGGTAGGGGAATTATTCGAGTTTTGAAATTTAAACGTGTAGTAGGGTATTTGGGGGAGAGGGAGTATTGTTTCAACTCATCCGTAGCAGGGGGAATTAATTATTCGAGAGAGGGGAATTAGTTGAGGGAAGAGAATTAATCGAGTAAATGCGGTACCTCAATTTAATTTTTATGTGAGGTATATCTACATCAAGAAGGTACTTAAACACCTCTAACTTATAGTTACTCAGTCAATAATTTTTATTAATATATCATAAAAAAGAGGAGATTTGAGGCTACAAAATAGCTCTAAATAAAATTTCCAGCTCAAATCTTCAAAAAGTTATTAATTTCCAAGTACCTGCCAAACCGCATAAGCACGTAATGTCCAATTATTTTCTGCTAGAACTTCAAATCTTTAAAAAATTTTTTTTTTAATTTCCAAAAAATATTTTTTTATTCAAACTCTAATTGAATTTCATCTAACTGTATTTCCCTCTGCTCAAAACCCAATCCAATTTGTGCAAGCTTCTGAGCGTTTTTCCATTCCATTAATCGAATTGATATTAAATTATTTTGCATAACAGCAATTAAATGAACGCCGTCATTTAATCGTTTTACCTGAAAAATTGTTTTAAAAATCAGAATTTTTCTGAGAAATTAAGAAGGTTCTAAAGAAATCAGAACCAAGTTTGTTCTCTGTTCATTAAGCTGTTCATAGATTTGCTTTGCTCTTTGCTGCATTCCCGCCCTTAAAATAAAGTTTATTTACTCTTATTCTTTTTTTTTTTTGAATAATTAACAATGTTTGTCTAGCCTGCCCCAACTGATCATGCCTTTGTTCGTGTTCTAATCGGTCAACCATTGACTGGAAATTCTGTAATTCATTTATATCGTTTACAAAACGTCCCTGCATATCTTTATTTTCTTCCCACAATAATTGACAGTCTTTGGCTACTAAAGAGAGGGCCATTCTTTGTTGTTGTTCATTAGTGGAGGGAGAAACGGATGAGGTATTAGATGAATGCATTTTTTAAATTATTTAATTAAAATATTAAAATAATTAATTGTTTAGTATTAATATGTAAAAGCTAAGTTTGTAAAAAATAAATGTATTTCCCTCTATTGCCCTCTACAAAAAATAAACTTTTTCAAGTTTGTAAAAATAAAAATAGAATTATGTTTGTAAAATAAAGCTTAATTTAAAAGTTGTAGGAATTAACTTGGTATTATGTATACTTAGGTTATAAACTAAGTTTTAAGTCCCCTTAGAGTTAAAAAAGTTGCCGTGCTTCAAAGATGCAAATTTTAGTATTTTACCTCTAAATCCTGCCAACTTAATCCTATTACTCTAATTTTATGCTTAGAAATAGGTAACTCTCTTAGGAACATAAAGAAAAATAAATTACATTTTGAAAACATTTTGCTGAATTTTAATAATTATTTAATGCGCTTAACCTAAAGGGGGCTTAAAACTTAGTTAACAACCTACGTATATTAATAATTTTTAAGTTTGTAAACTTATTCTATATATTTGTAAAGAAATGTATATATTTGTGTAAAATGCCAAATCTCATTTTTAAATTATTTAAAATAAAGAAATGTTAACATTTCAAGTTTATTTATTCCTTTCATTGTTGGTAAGATTATTGAGCTGCCACTTAATTTAAATGCTTTTTCTAAAGGACCGCGCGCGAGAAAAAAGGATGAAAAAAAAGAGAAAGGCTTATATTTACGTGCAAATATAAATTGTAGCCATTTGCTTCAATACGGCTAGATAGCTAAAAAGCGAGAAAAAAATAATTTGGGGAAAAAATAAGGGGAAGCTTTGGCTGTTCCATTAGAACAGCCAAACGGCAATTCTTGAATAGACTTTTTTTAAAAAATTTTTTGGTATCATTCAATAGAGAATTGAATAAGCTACAAAATGAAAATTAAACCAAAATTTTAAAACAAAAAACAAAAAAGTTATGATCGAAAAACTACTAAAAATGTCTTATTTTACTAGTTTTTTAACCATAACTAATTTAATTAAAAATCCAAAATTTTAATTATTTTTCTAATTTTGTAGCAAATTTTCTCCTCTATTTAATAATATCAAAAATTATTTTTTAAAACAAAGCGTTGTTGAGTTAGAAGCTGACAATCACACAGCTAGTGTCGTTGCTGGAGAGGACTTTCTCGGGTATTTTTAACGTTTATTCGTTTCTTTTTTTATTTGTTAATATAGAGAAGCTTGGATTAAGCAGATATATGTTAGAAAAATATAAAAAAGAGAATATTGGCCTTAAAGCCAGAGAAAATTGAGAAAAAAGAGAATAAACAAAAATTATTATTTTAGGCCAAAAATATAGAGAAAATGTAAAAATAGAGAGAATAAATAAATAAATATTTTTGCTACATAAATGACAGATAGATGGATGCTGTTAGTAGAGTTAAAAAATATATTCACTATTTGCCTAGAGCATAGAAACAAGCAACAATATTTAGCGTTTAGAAAGCTTATAGAAAAGTTTAAAGTTGATTAAAAGCCAAAAACAATTAATTTCCTCTTATAATTGTAATAAAAATCAGAAAAAAATAAAATCAGAATTTGTAAATATAATTATTTAATTAATTACAATTGTAAATTATTTATTAAAACTTGAAATTAAAATTACAATTATTAAAACTTAGGTTTATATTAGTTAGAAGCCTACTTTGACAGAAATCTAAGTTAAGTTTGCAAACTTAAGTTTTCTGTTTTTAAAGTTTTGTTTTTAATTTAAATTTTTTAAAGTCCAAATTTATTTAAAAAATATTTATTATTTTTTTTTAAATTAATCATCTCAATTCCAAGTCCATTTATTTTTTTCTAAATATTTTATTTTGCCCTATACACATTCAAAATGATTAATATCTACATATATATTTTCGCAATTTAAATCTAACCGGTTGGAAATAAATATTAATGTCACCATCCCCCCATTGCTCTCACAAACAACGTTCTATTAAACGTGTACACTTTCATTTATTGGCTGGTTTTAAATTATTTAAATATTTAATCAGTAAATAAATTTATTTAAAAAATTATAATAGGTATTTTAATTTCTCGTTCTCGTCTTTTTATATTTTCATTTTTTTAAATTTAATATTTATTAATTCCTCAAACTTAAATTTATTAAAATAATTTGAAAAATAGAAAAATAAACTTAAAATTTAAAACTTGTAAACTTGAAAGTAACTTAAAAGTAAACATGAAAAATAAACGCTTTAATTTTTAAGTTTGTAAAAAATATTTATTTATTTTCAAGTTTGTAAAAATGCTTTTCAAATTTAATCTTAAGTTTATTTTAGTTACTTACTATTTCAAGTTTATTTTTAAGTTTTAAACTTATCAAATATTTATTTATTTTTAAGTTTGTAAAAACTTTATTTTCAAGTTTAATCTTAAGTTTATTTTTTAATTATTTATTTCAAGTTTATTTTTAAGTTTTAAGCTTATTTAATATTTATTTATTCTCAAGTTTGTAATCTTGTATTTAAAGTTTATTTAAACTCAATTAGTTTATATATGTAAATAATAAACTTGAAAAACAATTCTTGAAACCTTTCCTATAAAATAAATTAATATTTTATGTCTCTAACTACTAAATTAATTAATTAATAATTTATTAACAATAAAATGAATGTAGAAGTAAATAAATTAATAAAATTTAATTATTAATTATTATTTTAAAGACAACCAATTTTCTAAATCCTGCCTTGAGAGAGTGTTGTTGTTCTTCAAGCTCTCCTCTACCTTTACAACGTATTGTTCAATTATTAAGTGTTGGGGCATTTGAATTAAGAAAACAAATTAATGAAAAGATTAAATGTGATAGACTTGGAAATGGAGTAGAAGAGAAGGAAAATGAACAAGAAAAATATTTGAATAAATTGATAAGGAATGAACTATTGCTTATTGAGGTGTTTAATTTAATTTAAAAGGGGGGCTTAATTAAAAAGAAAGAGAGAATTTTTAATAAAAGATATGCAAACTTAAAAACAAATAAAACTTGAAACAAACTTAAAAAACTTAAGTTTAAATATATTTTTATTTTTATTAAGTTAGGAGTTGTAGACACTCGAAGATTAACAAAATGGATTAATAAATTTAACGATATTTACATGAAACAATTGTTAAATATGGAATTGTATTTTGTAAATAATTTTGGTAAGGGGCGTCTGTTAAAGATTTTTTGATAATTAATTTTAGCCGACCAACTCGAAAATCTGTGCCTTAAATTAAATACTCATAGTCTACCACAAGTGTGTAAACCTAGGGCTCCTTTTTTGTCGTTAAATGGCATGTCAAACACTCTTGGAGATAAAGTAGTGTATCAAGCAAGATCGGAAGTTACAGCACGTGTTGATATTGCTGGTAATTTTTACAAGGGAAAATTATAAAAAATTAAATTAAAAATAAGTGTGTTTTAGGAGTATATTTTAAAAAAACTTATTAAGTATTTAAGTTTGTAAATCTAAGTTTAAGTTTGTAAAATTAAGTTTAAGCTTGTAAATTATTAAGTTTGTAAATTAAAGTTTATTTAATTTTAATTCAAAAAAGGTGGCTGGACAGACACTCCTCCAATCACCTATCAAATGGGTAATATATTGCCAGCTGTACTTAGCCTTTCAATACTTGTTAACGGAAAAGTAATGATTAAATAGTAATAATTTGTAATTATTTGTAGAGGCCAATTCGTTGTAAATGTTCACGCCTGGAAATGCTTCAAGGAATTTTTTATAGAGAAAATTCTTTTGGGGAACAACAACCTTTGCTGGTTTTTAAAGATTATTTATTTTTAAATAAAGATCTGTTTAGCACTTTCCAACAGCCAAGAAAATATTTAAAAATTGTTGTAAACCTTCAGAACCAGGCAATAATCCAATAGCTGGCGTATAATTTAGAATTTAAAAAATAAAGGTTCTCTTCTGTGTGCTATTTTGGTGGTTGCCGGTTTTGTACGGGAAGAACTGTGGGGTGGAGAAAGGCATTATTTATTTTATTTTGCCGGACCTGGACGAGGATTGCTTATCGAAACAGAGTAAATTACTCAAAATTCCATCATATCAAAATCCCCGCCTTATATTTTCAGATCAGATTTGCCACACGGATCTGGCCTCGGTTCTAGCAGTATACTTGCTGGAGCCCTTTTATCCTCTCTCCACAAACTATCAGGAAATAAACAACAATTAACCGAAGACAAACTAATTAATCAAGTTTTGCAAATAGAACAATTACACACTTCTGGGGGAGGTTGGCAAGACCAATTGGGGGGTTGTATTTCTGGAGGTGCTAAAATTGGTTGGGTAGAATCTGTTGGGGAAAGAGAATGTTGTTGGCGTTCTGTCCAGCTTGGAGGGGAATTAATTAAAGAATTCAATAAAAAATTTGTTTTGTTATATACAGGCAAAACTAGATTGGCAAAAACTTTATTAAAGGTTTTTTTGGAAAAATTGTTTGAAAAAAATTTTATTTTTGTAGCAAGTTTTGTTGAGTTGGGCAAGACAAGAACCACAAATATTGGCAACTGTTGAAAGACTTGCCAAAGGAGCTTGGAAGGCTGAGGAAATGCTTATTGAGGGTAAGGAACAGGGGGTAGTGACCATTTCCACCAAAATACTCAAAAATGTGGCAAAAATAGGCCGAAATTGGTCAAAAATATGGCAAAAAAATAAAGCATTATTTTTAAAACTTAAAAATAATTAAAGAGAATTTTGGAAGGCCAAGAAGCAATTTTTTCCATTTTTGCTTACAAAATTAAAATTTTAAAAAATATTACGAAAATGTCAAAAATAGGACGAATGCCCCATAAATAAGGCAAAAGGGTCACAGGGAATTAAACCACATGTGTTTTTAGTTGTGAAATTTAAATTTCTTTATATTTTGATCATTTGAAAAGCTGATATTTTAAAAAATCTTCAAAATTAAGGCAAATTCCCCAGCGAAGTATGTACAGAATACAACGAACTGAAAAAAATCTTTGCATCAAATACAGAGCCTTCTCAAGTCACAGAATTAAAGAATTTAATGGAAAAAGAAAATTTAGTCGAAAGTGCTTGGATGGCTGGGGCAGGCGGTGGAGGGTTTTTGTATATTTGGCTTAAACAAACAGAAAATAATGTTTTGGATAAATTAGAAAATTTATTAAAAAGTGATGGATGTTGGAAGGAAATGAATATTTGGAGGGTTGAATTAGAGGATAAACAACCTTTAATTGTTAAATAATTAATAGAGTAGGGTTGGGGTTTTCGAGTCGGGCCGACGTCCGAGTCATTTTTTACGGGCCTCATTTTTATCGGCCCGGCCCGACCGAATCTTTTTCGGGCCAAAATTCGATGCCCGACTCGATCTTACGGACCGGGCCGGGCCCCCAACCCTAAAAGAGAGTAATGATGTAGGACGCCCCCCCCCCTTTCTTCTTTTCCTTGCGAATTCTATAGATGGGCAGACGATAGTCAAGATCAAGGCAATTTTCAGAGTTTTGCATCAGAACCGAAAATTAAGAGGATAATGGGTAATAATAATGTGGCGATTTGGTCCCCTTCTTTCCTTTCTACTGTGAACCTCTCACTTTAATATCAGATTTTTTGTGCCAGAGAGGTGACATTATAATGAGGTCCTGTTGTATTTCCTTTACTTTACCCAGGAAAAACTCAAAAATAATATGTACATATTTACCTATTCAAATTTCTTTAAATAAAATAGAAAAGGAAAAAGGGGCTTGATCGTTGTTATATACAGTGCCGGAAAAAAGATAGGGACACGGCCGTTAACTAACTTTTTCTCGATTATTTCCTTCCAATTAAGTTTTATTTTTTCTGGCACTGTATTACCTGACAATATAAATAGTGATATTTTTTAATTTATTTTAATATTTTTAAATGTAAATAGATAAATCGATTTTTATTTTAATTATTTTGATAAAAAACTTTTAATCAAAAATTACCTCAAAAACTCAAAAATAACCACCAAAAATCACGAAAAAATTTTCAAAATAAGATGGGTTGCATATTTATTTTTTAAAAATTTTTTATAAATAATTTTTGAGTTTTTAAAGGCCAAATAAATTAATTCAAAAACAAGTCACAAATAACAAACATTCATTCACCCGTTTATTCTTCTTTTTTAAATAATAATCCTCACTAATTCATTTCTTATTTTTCGGTGAATGTGAACGAGTTCGTTTTGCAATTGGGGCATCCTCCTCATCTTCTTCCTTCTCTTTTAATCGCTTCATTATTTTTGTTGTCTTTTCTTCTAACAGTTTTGTATTTTCATCGAGTCTAGCCATCTTTTCTCTTAATCTTGACATTTTATCTTCAACGAATTCAATGATTTCTTGTGTCGAACGCTTAATTTAAAATATAAAATAATTATTTTTTAACAATTTAAACCTCCATTTCTTTAATTACTTTTTCCAATTCAACGATTTTTACCTAAAAATATTTTTTAAATAAAAAACAACTCAACAACCCACCCATTTTTCTTTAAAATTCTTCCCAATAAAAAAATAAACAATTGAGGAAGAAGTTAACAAAGCAATAATACGTCTTCCCCACAATTTTTGACATTCTTTTATTGACTTTAAACACACCGATTTGGTATTATAACAGTTTACCGACAAGTTCTCCATCATTGAATAATCTGTAGCTTTGAATATATCAGAGAGTAATTCAACAGGTAATTGTTTATTTTGATGTTTTGATTGAAGCATTATTAAAAATAAATTAAAATTAGCTAAAGAATTTTTCGGACAATTTTTGTGGACTTATTCGAAAATTTGTAAAGCATTAAATTTTTAATTAAAAAAGTCACAGAAATTGTCATTCGTTAAACAATATTAAAATTGAAATAAAAGTATTGAAGGCTTTTTGGCATTTTGTCATTTATCGGTTGGGGTCAGTTGAGCGCGGCCGGTTGAGCGCCCCTTGTTATTTGGCCTTTTGAGCGCCAATATTTTTTTTACACTGATAAAATTTCCGAGAAAATGGTTTTAGGAAAAAAGGGTTTCCGGAAAATGGTTTGTTATTTCTCCCTTTCTGTTTAACTGTCATGACCAATACAAGGCATTTCAACAAATGCCTTGTATTGTTGATTTACTTTCGCTGATGGAAAATACTTTTACAGAAATGTTTGTTATTTCTTAATTTCAATCTTTCGCTGTTAGGGGTAATAATTATTTGAAGGAGGGTAATAAAAACGGAGTTTTTCAAATAACCTCTTACAAATTCAAGATAGGCAGTTGGTGACCGGTTGCCAATCGGCACTCTCCGTTTTATTTTAATCCAAATTTTAAAACCGGTTTTCGGTTTTGAATTCTAGTCAAATATCGGGCTTTGCTTTGGGAGGATTTTAACATTTTTCATTCACCTCTCCGTTCTCTAACTGATCATTAGAAAAAATTGAAGATTGCCAAATATTTTACAAAAAATTTATTCGAACACATTTACATACAAAACAAATTTACAACAAATCTAATAGAATATATTATGAGACATATGTACATATTACACACAAGGAAATTTAGGAAATTCTTTTATTGAATTGGCAATCACAAGGAAATTTAGGAAATATACAACATATAAATGAATGCAAGATAACAACAAAGGAAAATATGAGTTTAGATATTATATTCAGTTCATTTTTATCTCTTTAGAATTCTTCCCCCTCTGTGGCAGGTTCCTCCTCGGCCGTCTCCACCGGTTCTTCAGTGCGCGTCCCACCATCCCGACTCGGTGTTGCAACCAGTTTCTTTCCCGTATCATCAACCGGAAATGGCTCGGACTCAACGTCAGGCACGTGATATACTGAAAATTAAAGAATTACCCAAAGACTCCTTTTCACTTATTCGAGTACCTCTCTTCGGCTTCCGTGGTTCTTCCTCCTCAATTGGAATGAGCTTACACCGCTTATTCCAGAAGCCTTTAGCGCGCGTAAGTATTTCACACACGTCCTCGGCTGCGGTCGAGATCAGCTTCAGTGGAGGGGCATCCCGTTCGAGCTTGAGTACCACATTTTTCTTTTCAGTGATACTCTGTCGGATAGCCTGTAAATTAAAGGATTGAAAATTGTTTACAAAATTACTTGTAAAAATAACACCTTTTTAGCTCCAGAGACGTCGTCTTTCACTTCCTTGCCGTTAACGTCCCGCAATATGTCGCCTGGAAGGATGTACTGCGCAGCTACACTGCTTGGCTCAATGTGCGAGACGATGATATTAGATCCCTGGAATTGAAAGCTATTATTAATGACAAGCCCTCATTACTCAATCAATTACCTTCTTCTCCACAGTTATCCCAATTGGAAGATCTTCTCGCCATCTAATCTGCAGCTGGATGAAATTGTGGCTCGGGTTTCGCCTGATTTGTGTGACCTTGAGGTTGATCATTCTGAAGTAGTCGTCCCTGCGGAAACGGATGAACAAAGGCTTGGGTTCAGCGCCAGAATACTGGGTTGCTGCCGTGAAGTCTTCTGCCGAGTTTATGGCCTGAAAAATGGACGTTTAAACCGAGTATTACCCTAATAATCGCAGAAGCTTACCCGTTTGTCAATCTGCAAGATCCAGTCTCCAGGGAACAACCATCCAAAGAAGTAGGAGAAGATGTCGATCTTCTGTATCCGCGGCGGCGAGCTCCCACTGAAGAACGTCAGTCCCATGTCCGAGTCTTGGATCTCGATGGTATCCTCATGCTCATGAATGTACTTCTTAGCTGAAAAAGATAAAAAAGTTAGTTTAGAAAACAACCCTTGTATGATACATCCTCGTTTCTCGGCCATTGTACTGAGACGCGAGACCAAGAGTTAGCAGCACAGCGACGAACCAAAAGCGGCCTTTAGTTGAATTGAGCACAGCGTTGTCGTCACGAAGTGCAGTGAGTTGTAGTGTTGGTTTATGCATAATTTATTAAGGTGCTTTTATACTAACCCGAATTCTTTTGCTACCCAAGACAAAGAAAATTTTGAGCGACTTTTTTTCTCAACCCTTGACATCCCCGTTTTATAAACGCAGTTTTTCTAAGATCATTTTACAAATTCCGTCTTTTATTATTAACTGGCACCCTCGGATTTCTGTTAATCCTGATTTTAAAAACCGGTCTTCTGGTTTGTGTTTTGTTTAGATAACTGGTTATGGTTGGGGAGAATTTTAAAAAATCACTTATATTTCCAAAAAATTTTGGTTTTAAAACCGACTTTGAGTAACCCTAAATTAAAATATTTATATCTCCAGAAAAGTATAGTTTAGCCTAAAAAAGAATAAATTTTTTGAAATTAATGTAAACACTGAATTAAAAATTTTGAAATAATTAAAAAAAATTTTGTGTATATTAATTAATTGTGTAATTGCAACAATCGTTAAAAATAATTAGAATAAATTTTATAAAAAAGTTCTTCAAAAAATTATTTTACACAACAAAAAATAAATGAGAACAATCCTTCTTTAATTTCATTGTTCGAAAACAATTAAATTCTACATATTTTTATTATTTTTAAAGTATAAATACTCGAATTATCTTTGGGTTCTGAAGTAGTAAAATAAAATTTCAAATTTGGATTGTAAATATTTTTAATTAAATAACTGGTAGATTTTGAATCATTTGAATTTTTAACTTCTTTTGCTCTTTCACTCAATTTAAAATTTGGTTTAACAAGACATTTTAGGCGAATATCAGGCACCATTTTTGAACAGTCTTTAGATGTTGTTATATACTTAAATTTAAATTTAATTTAAAAAACCGGAATAACTTACTTCAACAAAAAAATTATAAAGTTGTGACGACCAATATGGACCTAACACAAACCGAACTTGATTTAATTTATCACCTCTATTTGTTAAAATATTAAGTAAAATATCCATATATTGCCCAACATGGTTAACAGTTGTAAACTCAATCACAAGAAATTCGGAAATAATTAAATGATCTAAAATGATGCCCAGCTTATTTCCACAAATTTCATTATTAGAAGAAATATATGGGCGTTTAATGTTAAATTTAAGAGTTTTGTTGGTATAAAATAATATATTTAGCATTTCTGGATTAAATACACATTTATCAAAATGGGCATATTCAAAAGCACATTTAAATAGTCGTTCTAACCAGCAACGAATAATAATCATTTCTTCAATATTTTTTGGAATGTTTGGCAATTTTAGAACATAATGAGGTTTTGTGTCAACTAAATAGAAAAATTAACTGAAAAATTGTATGAATCAGATGAGATAATTTGTGCCCTAATTAGGGACTAATTTCCACCTAAAATTAATGTAATATGTACAAGTATTTTTAGACCTGTCTTTATACATAAAATTAAGTTTCTGTCATATTCATACAACGGAATTGATTTAGATATCGCTCTCTTCCACTGAAAAAATAAAATTCTAAAATTTAACTAAAAATTAATTTCACCTTCTTTTTAAGTTGACGATTCAAAGTAAATTCAAAAATTCCAGATTGAGGTTCAATAAATTTATATGAACGTAACCATAGAAGATGGTCATAATCAATCTAAAATTAATTTAAATTAAAAAAAATAAATATATTTACTAGTAAAAGTTCGCTAAATTTTATTCGAAAGCATAATTCTCCCTCATATTTGTTAATTAAATTTCGAAAATAAAAATTTGTTTGTTTAACAGAAAATATTTGGTTGAAATCAAGACATTTTAATATATCTAGTTGAACTTCGAGTGGTAAAGAAAACATTTGAATGTGACCTAGAAATACAAAATGGAGAAAGTTTGCTATTTAGAACCAGAAAAATTGCAGTTTTATTATGGAAAATGAGGCAGAAACTAAATGAGAGTATTATTTATATCACTTACAAAGAGGGCGAGGCAAATTAGAGGCGGTCTTTTCTTTTAACTATAACTTCTTTCATTTTGAATGAAGACCGATAATCCTTTTTTTCCTGGATTCCTAATACTTTAAGAATTTTTGAACCAAAATCGCCTTTAAATTTTATAATTTAGTCTGATTAATCATCACTCAATAGTAAAATTTTTTGGATAAAATTACGCCTGGATTCATTGATATGAAAAATTAATATATAATTCGAATCAGCTCTTCCATCTGCGTCAAAGCCAGGCTTCTTCCACGTATATGAACCGAGATATGGTTCACTGAATGATAAATTAAAATAATTTTTGGCAAATAGGAATTTTTTGTGTAAACAGATTTACGAGAAAAGAAAATAGTAAGTAGGTAATTGACAAATACTCGAAGCTTTTTTATAAATAAGAAATGTCAAATTTTTAAACAAATCAATTTATCTTTAAAATTACTAAACTTATCATTTCAAATTTTTATATATTTCTTAAAGGACAAATAAAATAAATAACAACCCCCACCCCTCCCATTAATTTCTTTACTATTTTGTAATATATTGAGAACGAGTACGTTTTGCAATAGGGCCATTCTCGTCTACTCCCCTCTCAGCTTTTCGTCGCTTCAAAATTTTTTCTTTCGTTTCTTCAAACAATACTTCTTCACATTCAGCCATTTCTTTTTTTAAATATGAAATTTCATCTTTAAAGAATTTATAACCTTGATGAGCTATGAACTTAAAAATTAATTAAAATAAAATATATTTTTATTTAAATAATTTAACCACAAGTTTAGCAATCCCTCTTCTCCTTTTAAATATTGTTGCCTAAAAATATTTTTAAAAAATTTAAAAAACACTACTCCAACCTTTCTTTCTTTAAAATCCTTCCCAACAAATTTATGGACAATTGAGGAAGAAGTTAACAAAATATTCGAATAATAACTCCACAAATTTCCAAATTCTTCTTGTTTTAACACTAAACACAACTTTCTAAGTTTAAATAATAATGTTTCCATCATTGCATAATCTGTAGATTTAAATATATCAACAAGCAATTCTAAAGGTAATTCTTTATTTTGATGTTTTGATTGAAACATTTCTAAAAATTAGTTTTAATATCCCGGACTGCTGAAGGAATTTCAAAAAATCATATTAATTAATTAAACATTTAAAAATAAATTGGCAATCAACTAAAAAATGATTCAAATATATTTTATTAAACAAAATAATTTTCTGGAAATTGTTTTACAAAATTTAAAGAAACAATTTAAACGGGAAAATAAATTAAAACATTAAATTCTAAACTTTTATTATTCTTAAATCATGAGTATAACCATTTTCTTCAGGTTCTTCAATGTAAAAATAAAATTTCAATTTTGGATTGTAAATATTCGAAATTTGATAATTTGTATATTTTACATTATCTATTTGATAATTAAAAACTTTTTCTGCCTTTTTGTTTAATTTAAAATTTGGGGGAGTAGAAAAAATAAAAATAATTTCAGGTACAATCATTGAACAGTCTTTCGATGTTGCTATATACTAAAATTTAAATTTATTTTTTTAACTTTTAAAAATTATAGGTAATACAAAGGCTGGTCCCCTTCCCCTTTTCTGTTCTGTTTTCTTTCATTTTCTATGGTAAATTATATCCATTCGAAAGAGCTCTTCGAGCTGAGTCGAACGGCACTAAATTAATCGAAATCTGACTTTAATAAACATAGTTATGAGCATTTGTTTTATCCCTTTCAACGTTACAAAAACATGCCTATCGAGGAGTTAGCTTCATAATTTGGTTCAAAATTGCCAAATCTAACCGATCATTGTATCATTCTACTCAGCTTGAACAGCTCTTTCGAATGATATATTGTATATCATATGTCATGCAAAAAAGCTCAAAATGGTCAGGGAAACAGAAAAAAGAGTGGGGCAGCCTTGGTATTGCCAAATTATAATCTACCTCCGTAATTTTATCAGAAAGATTTATTTCCCTAAATATTTTGAAATAAATTTGTGGGAATTTATTTCCTCCATTTATTAGAATATTTAACAGAATATTTGTATATTTCTCTGTAATATCAACTTGATCCATTTGTATATTTAAAAATTCAGAAATTAATAAATGATTTAATGAAAATTTCAAAACATTTTCAATTGTTGTATTGACGGCCCAAATATTTGCTTTTTGAATGTTAAATTGGAGAGGAATTTGTTTGTCGTTATCGAATAAAATATTGATCATTTCTGGATTGAATAAACCTCTAATAAAATTGCAACATTCAAAAGCACATCTAAATAATTGTTCTAACCAGCAACGAACAATAATCATTACTTCGATATTTTTTGGAATTATTGGTAATTTTAAAAGATAAGTTTTGTCAACTAAATATAAAAATTAATTGGGACAGAAAATAATAAATATTAATTTTTAGACCTATCGTCTCTATATAAAGAAATAATTTTCTTCCAGGTTCATTTAAAAATAAAGGAATTAATTTATCTATCGCTGTTTTCCACTAAAAAAATAAATTTAAATTAATTAAAAATTTATTACTTTCTGCTTAAGTTTATCATTCAAAGTAAATTCAACAGTCACAGATTGAGGTTCAATAATTTTATTGAAGGAGTCTGGTTTGTTGCTAAGCTAAAATAAATTAAAAAGTCATATACCGTAAAAGCTCTAATAGAAGCCCTGGGCTTATATTTTTCAAAGGGCATGGGCTTCTATTAGAACTTGTACGGTATTTATTAAGTTAATATTTACTAGTGAAATTCCATGAAGTTTAATTCTTGCCAATTCTCCCTCATATTTATTAATTAAATTGAAAAGGTACAAATTTGTTTGTTTAACAGAAAATAATTGGTTGAAATCGAAACATTTTAGTACATCAAATTGGACTTCATGTGGTAGAGAAAACATTTTTTGAAAATTTATTACTAAAATTAACTGAAAAATGCTGGAATACTTTATATTAAATAAAATGGGTTTAAAATATTTAAAAATAAATTGGCAGCTTTTAACATGCTAGACGATAATTTTTAAATAAATTTTATAAAAACAAAAAATAATTTAAAAGAATCTCGATGTACAACACAATTTTTTTTTAAAATATTCTTGTTGTCCAGTCTATTCTTTTATTCTTCTAATTATAATGGAAAGAGTCGATCCATCCTCAATTAATTCTTCAAGACAAAATGAAAATCTCTTCTTTGGATTGTAAATATTGGATATTTGGTAATTTGTAAATTTTACACCATTCAAAAGCTTTATTTTAATTTTTTCTGCTCTTTCGTTTAATTTCCACCTAGGAGAATCAGAAAATTCAAACATAATAACAGGAACAATTTTTGAACAGTCCTCAAATGTTAGTTGAATATACTAAAATACATATTTAATTTTTTTAAATTTATTTATAAATAGTGGGGTACGCCCAAGTAGGCGCGCGGCCATAACGGCGTAAAGCCATAATTAGCTGGAAGAATTCTGACACTTATCAAATTTTGGTACCAATCTCTTTATCTCGATGAGAGGGATCGTTTAATACTAAATTTGGTAAGACTAGGAAACATGAAGCAAGTTGTGGCTTTGCGCCGTTATGGCCGCACGCCTATTTGGGCTGCACCCTTAAATAGTGTTTACTTGTTCAATATAATTATAAAGTGTTGACATTCTGAAGCCTAACAAATAAATTTTTGGGAATTTATTTCCTTCATTTATTAAAATATTGAATAAAATATTTGTGTGTTCTCCAGTAATGTTAACACTTTCAAAATTAATATCAATAAATTCAGAGACCGATAAATGATTTAAGCAAAAATTCAAAGCATTTTTGGCTGTAGTGTAGTGTACCGGTGGTAAAAGTTCGGGACGAGACATATGTCATTCGATTCGTCTCGACGAGCTGAGTCGAACGGTACCACTCCCTATTTTAGGAAATGATTCTGGACCGAGTTATAGGTCCCTGAAAATCGAAAAACCAAAGGGGGGACCAAGCACTTTTTTGGGGTGAAAAATTCGAAAATGCAAATTATACCTCATTCGAAAGAGCTCGTCGAGCTGAGTCGAATGACACCAAAATCAACAAAATCCGACTTGATTTGACAAAATTATGACCGTTTGTTTTAGCTCCTTACCTATGGCATCTGTAGAGATTTTTGCTGCTACGGAGACCCCAAATACGTCCAGAGCAAGGGAGATAAGAATAGGTTTATGTTACGAGCCCAGACCCAGCGCCCGTAGACTCCCCGCGAGGCGCGACCCAAGACCCCGCGCGAAGCGCGGGGTCTTGCACAAGCGCCTTGCCGACGACCCATAGGTTTATGTTGGTAGTTTTTCTATCGTAACTTCGTCAAAACTTGTGCAATCAAGATGGTTTTGGTGTCATTCGACTCAGCTCGACGAGCTCTTTTGAATGAGGTATAATTTGCATTTTCGAATTTTTCACCCCAAAAAAATGCTTGGTCCCCCCTTTGGTTTTTCGATTTTCAGGGACCTATAACTCGGTCCAGAATCATTTCCTAAAATAGGGAGTGGTACCGTTCGACTCAGCTCGTCGAGACGAATCGAATGACATATGTCACGTCCCGAACTTTTACCACCGGTACACTACACTATATCCGCATTTTTAAATGATTTATTGTCAGTAGAAAGTGTTGGTTTTTGAATGTTAAATTTAAGAGAAATTGTTTTGTTGTTATCAAATAAAATATTAATTAATTGTGGATTAAATAAATTTTTAAAAAAATAAACACGGTCAAAAGCACAGTTAAATAATTGTTCTAACCAACAACGAATAATAATCATTTCTTCAATATTTTTTGGAATTTTTGGCAATTCTAAAACATAACAACGGGAACCCTCTTCAACTAAATATTAAAATTTTTTGGGTCAATTTAGAAAGAAATTTTGGTTCTAATTATTTACCTTCTTGGCAGCGGGGATATTTCGAAACAAAAAATCTTCGAAAATCGGAAATCGAAAGAAAAATAACCTCGAAAATTTCGAAACAACTCTGCTTCTTGTTACTTATTAGCGCCCTCACATTCCCCTACATTTGGGGATGGGGAACGACCACAAGTAAAGATTGCCATTTTTCGGAAAGAAAATAGAGTTAGGAGAGTTCTCCTATTACTTTACACCCAAATAATTTAGACCTTTTGTCCTCAAATAAAATACTTTTTTGCCAAATTCATCTAAATACAGTGGAATTGATTCAGCTATCGCTAGTTGCCACTAAAAAATGTTTTTATAATTTAATTAAAAATTAACTTTACCTTCTTTTTAAGTTGATCATTTAAAGTAAATTCAAAAACCCCAGATTGAGGTTCAATTTTTCTATATTGATTTGTTTGGTAATTCAAGTCACGGGTAATCCAAAATTAATTTAAATAAAAAAAAAGATTAGTTAATAAATATTTACTAGCATGAGGCTATCAAATTCCTTCCGAGCCAAGCTTCCCTCATATTCATTAATTAAATTGTGAAAATAAAAATTTGTTTGTTTAACAGAAAATAATTGGTTGAAATTAAGACATTTTAATATATCGAATTGGACTTCATTTGGAAGAGAGATCATTTTTAAATTAAAAAAATTGAATATCTAAAATTGAATAATCACTAAAAATTAAATTTTTGAACATTTTTTAAAAGTAAATTGGCAATCAACCAACTAAAAAATAATTTAAATAGTTAAAAAAATACTAAAAGCGATTTAAACGGAAAAATAAATGCCAGCTGCTTTACTTTTTTAGCCCAGCTGCTTTACTTTTTTAAAGATATTAAAGTCCATTAAATTTTATTCTTTTATTATTCTTAAAGTATGAATATCTCCAACTTTTTTCTTTTCTTCAAAATACAAATAAAATTTCGTTTTTGGATTGTAAATGTTGGAAATTAGATAACTGGTAGATTTTAGATCATTTGATTTTTTAACTTCTTTTGCTATTTCACCTAATTTAAGATTTCTTGGTCTAGTATAACCCAAACAAATATTAGGCACTATTTTTGAACAGTCTTTAGATGTTATATACTAGAAATTTAATTTTAATTTCGTCCTGGAAAAAAGACAACTTACTTTTATAAGAAGATCATAAAGCTTTCTTAATTTGAAGAATTCAAAACGAATTTTTGGGAATTTATTTCCTCCCTTTATTAAAATATTTAATAAAATATTTGTACGTTCCCCTGTAATGTTAACATCTTTAAAGTCGATATTGAGGGATTCAGAGACTGATAAATTATTTAAAGAAAATATCAAAACATTTTCAAATATTTCATTGTTAGCATATAAATTTGCTTGTTGAAGTTGAAATTTAAGAGGAATTGTTTTGTCGTTATCGAATAATATATCGATCATTTCTGGATTAAATATATTTCTATCAAAATAGGCACATCCATAAACACATTTAAATAATTTTTCCAGCCAACATCGAGCAATAATCATTTGTCTAAAATTTTTTGGAAAGGCTGGCAATTTTACAATATAGCAACGGGAATTTTTGCCACCTAAATAGAAAAATAAAAATTTTTGGGTCAATCGAGATAAGAATTTACAGTTGTAAAAAACTAGGGTCTACCTTGACAAACATTAATTTATTACTTATTGGTACTTATTTAGTTAAGTTCCAGTGAAAGAATTGTTGACTTCTGCAGAAATATACAATATAGACCAACACCAACATAAACCAACATAAATACAAGAACACCACTGAATTAATACTGACCAGGACTAATAAAACTAACCACTTCTACACAAAACAAAATATTTTTAAGCCTTTCCATTATGTAAGACTATTTATTTTATAAGCAATTTAAACCTGTTGTCCTCACATAAACTAATTTGCTGACTAATCTATCCAAAAACAGTGGAATTGAACTAGCTATCGCTGCCTTCCACTGAAAAAATAAATTTAAAATTTAATTAAAAATTAATTTAACCTTCTTCCTAAGTTGATCATTTAAAGTAAATTCAAAAACTCCAAATTGAGGGTCAATGTGTCTATATGGACGTTCCCCAAGAAGAAAGTCACGTTCAATCCAAAATTATTTTAAATGAAAAAAGTTTAGTTAATAAATCTATTTACTAGTAAGAAATGGTTGAATTTCATTTTTGCCAATTCCCCCTCGTATTTATTAATTAAATCGTAAAGGTAAACATTTGTTAATTTAAAAGAAATTAATTGGACGAAATTAAGGCGTTTTAATATATCAAGTTGAACTTCGAGTGGTAGAGAAAACATTTTAATGTCTGAAAAAAGAAAGGAAAATTTAAATCCAAAATTGGAAAATTGCAGTTTTATTGTGGAAAATGAACGAAAACTAAAATGAGGCCATAAAACAAGCCTTTTATCTTCTCAAAGATTAAACACTTCCAGCTTTTAAAAGAGCATTCGAGTGAAACAAAATTCGAAGAAAGATCAAATATCGACCAAAATTTGGCTGTCGATCAACTGCCGCGCTCAACCGACCCCAAAAATTTTAATTAAATACGTTTGGGTGCCAGCAGTTGAGTGCCCACCCCCATTGTGGGCGATTGTCTTTGTCATTTGTTTTTTTCTTTCACGAGATAATTTTTCTTAAAAATTGTTTTTAGTTTTGTAAGCATTTCTAATATAAAATGGCTAATAATAACAACAGAATTTTGCTCAAATCGAATGATGATGAAACGTTTGAAGTTGATAGAAGTGTTATTCGTCTTTCTACAACTCTGAATACTATGTTTCAAGGTTTTTTGTTAAACTTTTTGTTGGTATGGGCGTTACAATTTTTAATTTTGTCAAGTTTTTTTTAGTTTTTATATTCAGTATAGAGGTAGGTTAGGGGTATTTTACTAATTATTCCCTTTGAATCCTTCGTTTGTTTGTACATGCAGTGGGCATGGGCATAAAATAAACCGTTTTTACCTCCGGTTAGTACGGCGAAAAGAGGAAAACCATATGAGTTATTTAAAACCCAGCCCTAAGTGAAGTATAGGTTTAGTTGTATCAAAATTTACTCCCAAGCGTTTTTGAATTCTTTATTCTTTGGCCGTCTGTCAAGGCTCCGATCAAATTAGCAAATTTAATTCCCAAAATTTTAAAATAATCGATATCCACTTTATATTCATCGTTTGATGGGGCTCATATTTTGCCAAAAAATAACAATTTTTCGAATTTAAGATCTCGGAATGGACCAATCAGATGCTAACGATGCAATGCTTCAAGAGCCTATTCCATTGGCTAATGTCAACGGAGCTGTTCTTCGTAAGGTTATTGCTTGGTGTCAGCACCATAAAGACGGTTCTTTTTCTAATTTTGTAAAATTAAAAATTCAATTTAAATTAAAGATCCTGTTGTAACCGACGATGCTGAGAGCAGGGAGCGCCGCACTGACGATATTCCAAGCTGGGATGTTGAATTTCTTAAGGTGGATCAGGGGACGCTTTTTGAGCTTATTCTGGTAAAGATTTATTTTAAATTTATTTTATTAGTTAAAAGTTGGGTTTTAGGCCCTTTAAGTAGAATACCCTGACGGCCCATTTCGCTATTCACGGCAACATTTATTTTGAATATTTTTGGGGTGTTAAATGTTCTTATCTTTCTTGTTCCATATATTTACTCCTAATAGTGTTCTCAAGCATAAAATCCATCCAAAACCGGAGCTATTTTGTCTAAAACTATTTATTTCCACGACTATTGACTATTTTTAGGCAGCCAATTATTTGGATGTTCACGGTCTTTTGGATGTTGCTTGCAAGACAGTTGCAAATATGATTAAAGGAAAGACACCAGAAGAAATTCGTCGAACATTCAATATTAAGAATGATTTTACTCCAGAAGAGGAAGAACAAATTCGTCGAGAAAATGCTTGGTGTGAAGATTAGAAAAGGGGGAGAAGAGAAGAAATAAAGGAAAGGGAATATTATAAGAGAAGAGGTTTTTTAAAAAAATTAAATATTGGGGGAAGGAATAAGGATTAACATTTTGACTTAAATTTTGTTAAGAAACAAAAAAAACTTTTTGCCCATATTTAATTATTATACAAAAACAAAATATTCTCTCTAAAGTAATTTGAAACAAATATTTTTATTTTATAAAAATTAAAGACTAGTTCATTTTGAGATGAAAAGTTGATTTTTATTTTAGAGAATATATTTATATATTAAAATTGCTTTTATGTGAAATTTAAAAACCTGTGTTTATATTAAAAGTTACATACTCTTTTTGTTTTCAGGTTTAAAAAATTCAAAAATAATTCTATATTTTTTTCTGGAATTAGAAAACTGAAAAATTGGGGATGTTTAAACCTTGAAAATAAACTTAAAGAAATTATTTTTTAATTCCCTCAATACCAAAATTGATTTAGAATACATTTAAGATCAGAAACTGAGTGAACAGGTTTAAAGTTTGCTTTGAGTAACCTGGGAAATTTATCCAAAAATAAAAATAACAAGAGGGACCCTACTGCTAGTTGTGTAAAAACAAATTAAAAATTCCAAAGACCCCAACAAATCCAAAAGATTTAATATTTAATTTTAAAAATTTCAAACTGTAAAAATATTAAAATAAAAATATAACCATAAAATTTAAAATAATGGCACAAAAATAATTTTAGTGTGTCTTTTCCCTCCTTGATGAGAGAAAAAATTCAATTTAGAAATTTCCTAAAGTAATTCCTCTATTTTTGTATTGAAGTAAATTTTGAGTTAATCTTTGCATTTGTCTAACCAACATTTCTGCATATACTTGTTCATACCAATGTGAAGAACGTCCTCTTTAAAAAAAGGATTTTTTTAAAGAATTTAAATTAATTTTGAATCTTGTTTCCCTTTTTATTTTCTTAAAAAGACTTTAGCTCTTTTGGCACACAGGGCAAATAGTGGAAGGAGAGGAAGAAGAAAATCTGACATTTATGTACAATCTTAAGGAAGGAAAAAAGGGGGAACGAAGCTCAGAATAACCCTTTTTGGTTGGAAAGGAAAACCTTGAGGAAAAAAGAAAAGAAGAATTTGAATTTAAGAAATTAAGTGTCTGAATTGTGGAAAACGAAAATTCAATAATTTCCAAAACACTCACTTAAAGTCAATTCTCGAAATATAAATAATTTGTGAAAACCCAGCACATCTTGGGACAATTAAGAATTTTGATTCGTGGACATAAACCCTTTCAAAATCCCCTCCATCTAAATTGTTGTCATCCTCTTGTGAAGTAACAGAACATTCGATAAGTGAACATGTTGGGGACTCGTTCCCTATTTCGTTGTAAGTCCAACGCCTGAAAATATGAAAATAAAATGAAGAAATTTTTAGTTTTCCATAAAAATAAATTTTAAAAAAATTCATTAAATATCGAGGCATTTGTAAAGCTTGAGGTGTTACAGGAATAAAGCCGGAGAGGTACAGGTATAGCCTCGGGCAGGCATTACCTGGCCATTATTGCTCTGCTCTTGGAGCGGATTTTTGTCTCTTACATTAGTTGTTCTTTAATATTGGACAAGTTCCCATACAACTTTACAAATGCCTCTCTTCCATCAACCATTTATTTCCCCCCGATCCATATAATTTATAAAAACTACCTAGCCAAAAAGGAGCATTTCCCTAAAGTAATTAAAGTTGGCTTATATTGAAAGCGAACAATATCAAAATTTTGCCCTGAAGGTCCAACACGTTTAATTCCAATTACATTAGGATCCCATAATGTTCTGAAAAAAGATTTTTAGTTTAAAAATCTTCCCATTTCCAAACCTTCCATTAATTAAAACAGATAATATTAAATTAGGGGAAGCAGGCACACTTGTCTGAACCAAAAAAGATTTTAAATTGGGAGCCATGTCGTTTATTGAACGTGTATAAATATGCGCCCCATCAGAAAATACCCGTTGTAATTTCCAGCATTTGTTTGTGTTATTGGTGAGCCAACCATTTGAATAATCCTATAAAAATATTAAATTGTAATTCTGGAAGGTTATAAATTGTAATTCTGATTTTTATAAAATTACAATTCTGATTCTAAAAATTGTAATTCTGATTCTACAAATTGTAATTCTGATTTTACAAATTGTAATTCTGATTTTTATAAAATTACAATTCTGATTCTAAAAATTGTAATTCTGATTCTACAAATTGTAATTCTGATTTTACAAATTGTAATTCTGATTTTTACAAAATTACAATTCTGATACTTTACGTCTTACTTAATTTTGATATTTAAAAATTGTATTTTTGATTTTACAAATTGTAATTCTGGAAGGTTATAAATTGTAATTCTGAATTACAATTTTGATATTTACAAATTGTGATTCTGATTTTACAAATTGTAATTCTGATTTTTATAGAATTACAATTCTGATTTTACAGATTGTAATTCTGATTTTTACAAAATTACAATTCTGATTTTACAAATTGTATTTAATTCTGATATTTACAACCCCAATAAATCCCTCACCTCTTTAAGCCTGTGTAACATTCTCCTCAATTTTTGATGTAATTCATCATTAAATTCAAATTGCCCATTTTTCTTTATTTTTAAACAAATAGCCCCATTATTAAATGTTCGGCATGTTTCAATTAACCGATTTAAATATTTATTATTTTCAATTAAACATGTTGGCAATAAAATTAATTTTTCCCATCCATCAATCATTGCACTTAATAATTGTTTTATAGACTCATAATTGTTTGTACAGGAATTGTTGTTTTTATTTGGTAATGTTGGACTTGTATTTTCTGTTGTTGCTAAGGTTGTAATTCCTCCAGCATTCACTAAACTTATTTCTATTGTTTTTCGTCGCCTTAATAGTGAATTATAATTTATTGTTTGTAATTGTAAAATTAATTAATATACATATAATTTAATTGAAGGGCTCGGATCGAAAAATGTTAAGCGTAAGTACAAAAAGTGGAAGTACATAGGGGGAAAATTTTTCCAAATGTAAGTACGCTACAAAAATACAATTAAAATATTTATTCTAGCTTAAAATGAAGCAGGCAAAAATTGAGATTTTTGAAGGCCAGAAAGTCAATTCATAAGTACATACTTACAAATATGTACATTTTTTGACTTCCAGAATAAGCGAATCCAAGCCCTGTTTAATTATAATGGTAATAGTTTGAAATTCGCCCCCCCTTTTTTTCATTATAATTTCAATTTTTAATTCAAAATACACAGGTTTATTGTTAAATTGTAAAATTCAAAACTTACATTAGTCTCTTTCTAATTCCATTCCCACCATTTTCCAAGGATAAAAGAGGAATTGTACTATTTTGTCTTTGTTGTTTTTGTTGTAAAGGTTGTGAATTAAAAAATTGAAAAATTGAAGGCATCCAACAAGTAGCGAGATTTAAAGAATTCATTTTATTTATATTTGAATGTCTGGCAATTCCACATAAAAAACGTAAAAGAATTAAAAGGGCCTCTCGATTTTCTGCAGGCAAAATAAGTATTGAATATTGTGCAATTTGGAAATGTTTTGGAGAATAAGTTGGGGGTAATTCTCTGAAAATTACAAATTCTGATAGGGACTAGGCCGTTTTGGCGCGGGGCCGTTTTGGCGCGAGCTTATAAGATAGCGAGTTCGTTATCAAAAATGATAAAGTTTTGCAATAATAACTCTCGCACCTTTATCTAGGTTCTCCAAAGATTTCAGAATTTTTGATCAAGAATTTCGGAAATTGTGGCCAAAAATGTTGATTTTCTGCAAAATGCCTAATTTTTCAAGGTCTATCGACTATAACTTCGGAAATATTGGATGAAAAATTCTGAAATTTCTGGAGGAGGTAGTCGAGGATGTTAAAGAAATTTGAGAAAAATTTTATAAATTTAGGTCTCGCCTAAGTGCCACTTTTTTGTTCTCGCGCCAAAACGGCCCGGCGCCAAAACGACCCCAACCCATTCTGATATTTTAATTTACAATTTCTGTTATTAATAATTACAAATTCTGGTTTTGAGATTTACAATTATCTTTTTTTGTTTTTACAATTCCGATTAGTAATATCAATAAATTCTGATTTTTATTTTTACAAATTCTGATTTTATTTTTTACAAATTCTGATTTTTATTTTTTTACAAATTCTGGTTTTTATTTTTACAAATTCTGTTTCTTATTTTTACAAATTCTGGTTTTTATTTTTTACAAATTCTGATTTTTATTTTTTACAAATTCTGATTTTTATTTTTTACAAATTCTGATTTTTATTTTTTACAAATTCTGATTTTTATTTTTTACAAATTCTGATTTTTATTTTTTACAAATTCTGATTTTTATTTTTTACAAATTCTGATTTTTATTTTTTACAAATTCTGATTTTATTTTTTACAAATTCTGATTTTTATTTTTTACAAATTCTGATTTTTATTTTTTACAAATTCTGGTTTTTATTTTTTACAAATTCTGATTTTTATTTTTACAAATTCTGATTTTTATTTTTACAAATTCTGATTTTATTTTTAAATACCTTAACCAATTCTGAAGCAAACTAGACACTTTATTTGTAAATAAACATTCGGGTAATGATCTGAAGAAGAGCTTGAGAGCATCGCAAAGATCAAAAATTTGGGATTCTGCAAGTAAATGAGAGGGTATTGGATTGTTTGGAGATAATTGTGAACAGCAATCCTTTTTTAAAAAATTGTAAAAAATATTTAAAATTAAATTTAAAATTACTTTTATTTCTTCAATTCTTCCTTTTACACCTAAAATTTATCAAATTTGAAATTATAAATGGGGCTATTGGGACTTGGAAACTTTACTAGCTTATAGGAATATCAGAATAACAATTATATTTACCCACCATTTTTCCTAAAAAGCCATTCTGTCAAATGTGCATACCCCTCAATATACTCCATTATATCATGTACAAAACGAGGTAAAGGACTTCCATCTTCTGTCTTTGATTGAATAATGTTCAAAGGCATTCCACCAAAAAGGGCTTCGGTAATTTTGTTGTTGTTGGTTATTTTGTTTGGATTTAATTGTTGTTCATTCCCTTTTTTAGACAAAATTTAAAATATAATTTGTAATATAATTATGGGCAGATCTAATTATAAAAAACTATCTCAAATTGAAAGTATCGTATAGATAGTCTCCTTTCCAACCAGAGGTGGGTCGGAATTCTGATTTCCGAAAAAATTTTTGATTTCGCCAGTTCCGATTTCCGGCTCTTCCGATTTCCGACACCTCTGACTGTTCCGCCCACCTCTGCTCCCATCCAGTAGCCAATCAAATTTTAAGACACATATGTATCTTAAATTTAGATGTACCTAATATTGTGGGTATCTAGTTGAAATGTCGCTTAAATTAAAAGGATATCTCAGAATGAGATCCGACCGTATCCCCAAACAAATATTCACCTTTTGTTGTGTGTAATTTCCGAAATCTACTCAAATATTCAAGTATTAATCTTTTAGGAGCACCAGAACGTGAATTATTATAAGAGGGGAAAGATTGTTCATCACAGATAAAAGAAGAGGAGGACGATAGAGAAGAGGAAGAACAACAAGGTTGTTTAATTAATTTAGAAATTTGTTGGTGAATTAATTTCTCGTCGAGGTAATCCTTTTAAAGTTTGAGATAAAAAGGAAGGGAAAAAATATTAAAAACCATAACGGGAGCACTTAAACTGTCAATACTGACAGAAAAAGTAGGAAAAGAAGAGTTTCGTTGAGAAAATAAAGAAGTGTCAGTATTGTCATAATTATTAATTGAAGAATCTGGAGAATTTAAAGAAGATTGGAAACTAAAAGGAGTTTAAAAAATAAAGTAGAAGGTAAAATATACTTGACAAGACTATCAGTCTCCTTTAATGGAAATCTTCTAGTTATTTGTACTGAAGCTGCTCTCCGTACATTATTTAAGGTTGTTGTTGCCGTTGGAGAGTCTCCAAAAGTATCAAACTTAAAAATAAGTTTATTTAAAGTTTGTAAACTTAAAGTTTTAGGTTTTCAAGTTTAAACTTGAAAAACTTTTTTCTTTTATTTATTTTTAAGTTTACACTTTGTTTCCCACAATAAAATTTAAAAACTTGAACTTAAATTTAATTTAGCTTTCACAGCCATTTTTAATTTAAGCCTCATAAATATTTTTATTAAAGTTCTAGTTCTTTAAACTTTCTCAATTTTCTTTTTAAACACTTAAGATTGTAAAATTAATTTTATTTCCCTACCTTTAATTTCCTTTCTTGACGTAAAAACAAAGGAGATTGATAACAAGGATTTACAATATTTAAAGGCAAAGTAGCCCCAACATCGCTAGTAGACGCTAGTCGAGAACTAAACAAATCGTCGTCGTCATCGTAAACTGTACTAGACAAATCGTTTGGACGTCTATCCCCGTTAAAAGACAGAGGGGACATTAAACCAGATGTTGTGCAATCGGAAGTGGCCGGGAAGGAGAGGGTAATTGTTGAGGAAGATTTTCCAATGGAACTTGAAGATGAGCTTAAAAAGGGATTTTTAAATGTTTAAAAAAGATTAAAAATTGTATAAAATTTAGTTGACGGTTACCCGAAGGAACCGACTTTATTCCAAGCCTGTCCCTAATCCTTTTGGCAAGTGAGTGATAATTTTATCTATAAGAAAGTTTTTCTAAATGATAAACACTATAAGGGAACAATTTTTAAATCCCAAGGGATATCTAAAAATCAGGTTTTATTGTATTCTTTTATTTAACTTTAGTTTTTGCTACCTGAGCATTTCTTTCAATTTGCGAAGTGTCAAGGGAAGCAAAAAAGGGAATAATTAACAACACTCGTTCAGAAACAAAATTTAGAGATCACCAGTTTGTAAAATAAATTCTAAAAAAATAAAATAGAAATGTAGCCCCAAAAGTTCATTTAAAAGGGGAAAATAAAGAAGGGAAGGGGAGGAGGGTTAATTTAAATAAAAAAGGGAAGGAATTCGAGAAAAGATGAACAAACACAAAATGTTTTTAATTTTTTTCTGTGATTCAGAATTTTGCAATAAAAAAAGAAAAAGAAAAATTACAAAAAGGGAAAATATGTAAAAAATAAAAGGATTAACAAAAATTTAAGAAAAAAAATTTTTTTTGGAAAAAGTCACCAAAAGTTAACCGACCACACACAATGGAGGAAGAGGAAATAAATATGTACACAATCATGAATATTATTGAATTGTGTATTTATGTATGTGTTTTTTCTTATCGGCCAAAAAAGTAAACATCTGGGACAAAAAAACTTATTTTAGAAAAGATAAAATATGTACATTGTACAAATGGGGGTGGGGGACTAATTGAAAATAATAAAAAAATAGAATTAATACTGATACAATTAGGGTTGTCGGTTATTGGAGAATTTTTGATATCCGGAACAGAACCGAAAAAATCAGAGGTTTTTCAGTTTGGTTCCTAACTGACAACGCTAATTCTGAAATTAACATAAATTCATTTACTGAGAATTTCTATGAGAAAAGAATAAAAGAATGAGAAAATCTCCGGAAAAGTATATAAAGTTTTCCGGAATAAATAAACGAAACCAATAAATTTGAAAAATAAATTTCGGGTAGCACTACCGCCGTGGTGTAGTGGTTGACGCTCTCGCCTTTTTAACAGGTGCGCAGGTTCGATGCCTGGCGGTTATTGGTGATTTAATTAATTGTTATAGCACTTATTATGCTTAAAAATAAATTCAAAAATTTTTAAAAACAAAATTTCTATTTAAAATAATAGCCAACACAAAATATACGTAAACAATTTACGTTAAATATGCTCAAGAAAATCAATGTTTTCAACAAATAAAGAAAAAAATTTTTTAACGTCACAACTTGGAGGGGAAACAAACTAGAAACACAATTAACTATAGAAGAAAACAATTTGCGCGCGTTTATTTGTTTAAAGTAAATAAAAATAAATTATTTAGTATAGTCTTTTTAGTTGATCTCGTTCACTCTAATAATTAACTAAATAAGATTAAATTGAAAGAGAAAATGAAAAGAAAAAATTAAAAAAAATTTTTTTAGAGTCAATTTCTTTTTATTTTTTCCTTTAAAAGAGTACAGATTTTCTTCTTTTAATTCTACCGATTAGGAATAAAAAAATAAAAAGGTCCCCTTTCCCCTAACATTATTTTTTCTTCTTACTACACAAAATAATGCTTTCGCGCTGCTTCCACTCTACTTAAAAACACATTTCCGCTAAAATAAATTAAAAAAGTCTTTAAACTAGTAAATATTTATATATATTGATTTGAGTTGTTTTAAAGAAAAAAATTGAAAGAAAATTTAAACAAATTTTTTATGGTTTTGTTGTTTAAGAGAATGTGTGTAAATATTTATTTATTTAGATCACTCTCTCTCTCTGACTAGCCAAAAATTTGTTATTTAATAAGAAGGAGAAATGTGTTTGTAATTTAAATATCAACCAGCCAACTACTTACATATTTCTTTTAATTTTTTAAACATTTAAAAAAGACCCAATAAATTCAATTATTCTAAAAAGGGAATTTGTATTTGCTCTTTCCAAAATTCTGGTAATCATATTTTGTAATTGTAAATTATTTGACATTGCTAAACCAAAGGAAGGTGTTTGGCTGAGTAAAGTTAATATTGGGGAAAGTTGACTGTCCAAAACTGAAAATTGTTTTTTGTAAAAATCAGAATTTACAAAAATTACAAATCAGAATTTATAAAAACAAATTCTGATTTTTAAAATTTTTTTTACAAATTCTGACGTAAAAATTCTGATTTTCTGACGTCAGAAATTACAAAATTAAAATCAGAATTTGCAATTGTTGTGGTAATTTGTAAAAATCAGAATTTACAAAAAACAGAATTCGTTTTTACAAATTCTGATGTAAAAAACTTTGATTTTCTAACATCAGAAATTACAAAATTAAAATCAGAATCTCAAATTGTAATTATTAAGTTGTGGTAATTTGTAAAAATCAGACACATTAAAAACCAGAATTTGTAAAACCCCAACCTACCTATCTGCACAATCTCATCAGCATAAGGTATAATAATTTCTGGAGAGACTAACGCCAATTTTACAAGAAAAACAAATTCGTGCAGATTTTCACTTGTTAATAAAAATTCCTAAAAATTTAAATTTAAAAATTAAATTTCTTTTTTTCTCTTCTCCTCACATTTAAAACATCCAAAACAAAACGTCGAAATTCAACTTTTTTATTTCTCTCCAAACATTTAAAAATATCTGAATAAATTCGAAGTCTTCCAGAATATTCTTCATGAACTTGTGCTGCAAGTTGAACGTTGGATCTGCTCTAAAAATTGAAAAAAATATTTTTTTTTCAAAAAAATTCCTTCCAACCAATTCCCCACAAAATGCATGAAATTCCTCTGCCCCATTTTTCAATAAATTTTTTGCAAAATTTGGAGGAAAAGACTCACTAAAATTTAAAATAAAAGAAAAAAATTAAATTTTAATAAATATATTTACGCAATAAATAAAGTTATCCAATCAAAGTTATTTATAAACGCTTTTTGTGCAGAAATAAATGTTTGAATTGTTTTTTCTGGGGTAGAATTAAGCCTGAAAATAAATATAAAGGTTTTAATTTAGGGTTAGACAAAGTCGGTTTAAAAACATAAAATTTTTGGAACAGTTATCTAAACCAGAAAGCCGACTTTTAAAATCTGATTAACAGAAAACCGAGGACTGATAACCGAGGACTAATAACCGGTCGTTAACTAGCCTAATTTTAGCGTGTAAAAGACGGAATTTGTAAAATGATCTTAGAGAAACTTCGTTTATACCGGGGATGTCAAGGGTTGAGAAAAAATCGCTCAAAATTTTCTTTGTCTTGGGTAGTAAAAGAAGTCCGGATTAGTATAAAAGCGCCTAATAAATTATGCATAAACCAACACTACAACTCACTGCACTTCGTGACGACAACGCTGTGCTCTCAATTCAACTAAAGGCCGCTTTTGGTTCGTCGCTGTGCTGCTCACTCTTGCTTTGGCGTCTCAGTACAATGGCCGAGAAACGAGGATGTATCATACAAGGGTTATTTTCTAAACTAACTTTTTTTCTTTTTCAGCTAAGAAGTACATTCATGAGCATGAGGATACCATCGAGATCCAAGACTCGGACATGGGACTGACGTTCTTCAGTGGGAGCTCGCCGCCGCGGATACAGAAGATCGACATCTTCTCCTACTTCTTTGGATGGTTGTTCCCTGGAGACTGGATCTTGCAGATTGACAAACGGGTAAGCTTCTGCGATTATTAGGGTAATACTCGGTTTAAACGTCCATTTTTCAGGCCATAAACTCGGCAGAAGACTTCACGGCAGCAACCCAGTATTCTGGCGCTGAACCCAAACCTTTGTTCATCCGTTTCCGCAGGGACGACTACTTCAGAATGATCAACCTCAAGGTCACACAAATCAGGCGAAACCCGAGCCACAATTTCATCCAGCTGCAGATCAGATGGCGAGAAGATCTTCCAATTGGGATAACTGTGGAGAAGAAGGTAATTGATTGAGTAATGAGGGCTTGTCATTAATAAAAGCTTTCAATTCCAGGGATCTAATATCATCGTCTCGCACATTGAGCCAAGCAGTGTAGCTGCGCAGTACATCCTTCCAGGCGACATATTGCGGGATGTTAACGGCAAGGAAGTGAAAGACGACGTCTCTGGAGCTAAAAAGGTGTTATTTTTACAAGTAATTTTGTAAACAATTTTCAATCCTTTAATTTACAGGCTATTCGACAGAGTATCACTGAAAAGAAAAATGTGGTACTCAAGCTCGAACGGGATGCCCCTCCACTGAAGCTGATCTCGACCGCAGCCGAGGACGTGTGTGAAATACTTACGCGCGCTAAAGGCTTCTGGAATAAGCGGTGTAAGCTCATTCCAATTGAGGAGGAAGAACCACGGAAGCCGAAGAGAGGTACTCGAATAAGTGAAAAGGAGTCTTTGGGTAATTCTTTAATTTTCAGTATATCACGTGCCTGACGTTGAGTCCGAGCCATTTCCGGTTGATGATACGGGAAAGAAACTGGTTGCAACACCGAGTCGGGATGGTGGGACGCGCACTGAAGAACCGGTGGAGACGGCCGAGGAGGAACCTGCCACAGAGGGGGAAGAATTCTAAAGAGATAAAAATGAACTGAATATAATATCTAAACTCATATTTTCCTTTGTTGTTATCTTGCATTCATTTATATGTTGTATATTTCCTAAATTTCCTTGTGTGTAATATGTACATATGTCTCATAATATATTCTATTAGATTTGTTGTAAATTTGTTTTGCATGTAAATGTTTTTTTTTGAATAAATTTTTTGTAAAATATTTGACAATCTTCAATATTTTTCTAATAATCGGTTAGAGAACCGGAAAGTTTTAGGTGAATGAATAAATTTTGTAATGATACAAATGCCAACAATTAAGCTTAGGGCGCGTTTTTATTACCCTCCTTCAAATATACACCTTGCCTATATTACCCATTCCAACGAGAGATTGAAATTTAAAAAACAAACATTTCAGTAAAAATATTCTCCATCAGCGAAAGTAAATCAACAATACAAGGCATTTGTTGAAACGCTTTAAGCAAAACACTAGGCAAAGGCCTTTGAAGATTGAAATACGGTCTGTTGTGATTTTGATGACTTAAATCTGCACATAATTCAAAAAGCCATTGAAGCAATAAAAGAGGGAAAGAAGAAGTTGTTTTTGTTTTGATTTCTCCTTTAAATGAATTTAAAGTTGAAATTAATTGTTTAACTGAAGTTTCCAAATTGGTGTAATCAATGCCTGGAAATTAAAAAATTGAATGCCTTCTTTAATGTTTTATTATTAGAAGGGCGGATTTATATTGAAATAAGACAAAGAAACGCTTCTGGCTACGAACCAGTCATCTGACATTAGCAATGTCGAGACCGTTAAGTTTAGACAGGGAGGGAGAGAAATAACAAAAATGGGAAGGGGTTCGGGAAGTTTTCCAATTTTCCCAAGAACCCTTCCAATTCGCAGGAAGGGTCATTTCAATAATTTAAATATAAATCTAACAATAAGCTCTATTTCTCACCTTTCCCAGTTCCTTCTTTCCGCTCCTTTTCAGAAAAATATAAATGGACAGTTTCATGAACCAATTTAGCTATATAATGAAGAACGGCTCCCCTAAATGTAAAAAGTTTTTTAAGGAAATTTTCAATTAAAAAACCTAGCCGAAGGGACATTATTAAAAAGAATCTCCGCTGGAAGTACAAGTTTATCTGGATGATAATTTGCCCAAATAGGCCTCCCTCTGTAAATTGAAATTATATCGCCACAAGTAGCAACTTCAAAAAAACATTCAAAATTTTCTTGAAAATCTTTCATCATACTAATCTAAATATAAAATTTTTGGAGTATTGACTAAACACAATATTAGAACCAAAATTTAAGGCACGTACTTTATAAATTTTGGCCGTGTATTGGGCGGGAAAGAGTGATTCCAAAAAATAATTCCCTATGTTTAAGACAGGTAAAGAGGTTTATAAAATTTTTTGGATCCAAGAGTGTCTCTTATTAGAGAGACAAGTTATTAAAAATATAATAAAATAAATGTTGCCTCAAGTTTTCGAGAAGGATAAAATTCAAATGTTTAGAAATAAGGGGGTGTAAAAACTCGAAAACTTAACAAAATAAGCTTGAACTTGATCTTGAAAAAAAACAAAAAAATATTGAAGTATAAAAACTTGAAATTAAATTAAATTTAAAAATAAAAAATATTTATCAAAAAAAATTTGTTTCTCTCAAAATGTTTAGTTTCCCTTTTCAAAATCCAAAACTTCTTTTAAACGATCTAACAGATCTTCCAGCTTCAGCAATTTGTTTTTCTCCACTTTTTGAAGAACTTCTTTCACTTTGCATCATTTTTCTTTCAGAAATTAACCGTTGTGCTTCTTCCATTTCAATTTCCATTGCTGCCGTTGTTCGTTGAGTATCCTTTAAAAGAAAAAAACTTTTTTTAAGAAATTTTTTAAAAATTTACTCGAATTTTTTCTGATCTAGTTTTCGAAGCTTCTTTAACAGAATAAAACATTGGGCCAAGTTCTGCTAGCCATTGAGCTTCTACAGCTGTAACACATTGCATATATTCCTTTGCCGTCATTATAAGCTCGTGATAGACAACATACTTTAAAAAAATAAAAAAATTAAAAAGAAAATCTGAAAACAAAATACATCAGGTGTATATCCCATTCCAAAAAGCGAGGATGTTGGGTGAAGAAAACAAGGCATTCCAGTTCTAACATTTGCATATTCACCAATACCTTTTAATCTATAAAAAGGGGAAATAATTAATCTGTTATTTACCCATTATTCTTTATTTTTCAATTTCTTTCCTTCGTCTAAAAATTATAATGGTCAATGGTACTTAATGGTTAACAAACTAGTAGACTGATGTAAAAAATATAATTTATAAGAAATATCTAACAGCAAAGTTAATTTCGGGTCGTACTCGAACAGAAGAACCGAGGATTTTTCAGTTCAGTTCCAGATATCCGAGGAGTTACCAACAAAAATTAACAATTCTATTAATAGGTCTTTTTTAACCGTGACCATTTGAAATTTCCAAAAGGACAAAAAACAAAAAGAAAAAAATCCAGGGAAAAATCTATCACAAACCTCGCAGCGTTATAAAAATAAGCAGAACAAATACATTTTCTAACAATATCCCAATCAGTTCCAGACGAATTTGTTTCAATTTTTAAACTTTCCATAATTTCAAGTAATTGTTCTCTAACTTCTCGAACTTTTCTCATTGCTTTTGCATGAATAAAATTGTCTGTACACCATTTTGAACTATATTTATGTTTTTGCCATTGAATATAAGTATTTAAAAATGTTAGATGGTCACTTTCTGGAACCTAAGAAAAAAATTTTTTAAACGAAAGATTATAAGAATAAAATGAATTATCCACTCCCGAAGCCTTTCGATTAAGCCAGATGTTTAAAATCAGTATTCGGGATTAAAAAGAATATAGCTAATAAACGATAAAAGGACAGAATTTGTTAATTTTTGACCACTTTTCATGTTTTTACATTTCCGAAATTACAAGGGCGTAAGGCGAAGGTTGAGCACCTCCCCTTTAAATAGGAGAATGGGGGAAAAATTAGGAGAGAAAATGATCCAAAAAGTAAAATTTTTTAGCCTATGACCGTCCAAATTTTAAAAAGTTTTTGAAAACGGAAAAAATTTATATATTTGATAATTTTTAATCAAAAACTGCCAAAAATTTACGCCCGGTCAGAAATCATTTCCAACAATTTTTTTTAAAAAAACCTGAAACTTTTCTCTTCTAGCATCTGCTTCATCCTCTCTCATTTTAGGGCGAAAAAATATTGAAGGAACAGAAAGCATTGAAACTATTGTTAAAATTTCACTACTACAACCCATAACAACAGATTGAATTAACATTTTAGACAAAGTTGGATCTAATGGAAATTCAACCATTTTACGTCCCATATTTGTTAATTGTCCAGTATTGTCAAGTGCTCCCAAAATCCAAAGTTGATACATTGAATTTAACATATTCTCCATTGGCGGGGAATCCATAAAATGAAAATGTAGTAAATCTTCGACGTTTAATGATTTTCTGAAAAATTAAAAAAAAATAATGTTTTTTAAGTAAAGATAGTCAAAACTCGTTTTTAAATACTTCCTCAAAATTTTAAGTATTAATAAACGGTTCTTAAAAAATAGGGAAGGTATTAGGGATGTCAGTGGTTACCTCACCTCAAACCCTACCCGGATTTTGAAAACCACCCGACTTTTTTTGCGACCCTCCATATCCGTTAGTAATTGATTGTGGGGGCGCTTAAAAGATATCCCCTCAATATAAAATTTTTTAACCCCAAGGTGTAAAATGAGAAGTTGACTGCCTAAAAATATTTTAATAACAAATCCCCATACAATAAAAGAACAACATTTGACAAATTTGTTCTTTGTATTTCCGGCACAGTAGTAGCCAACATTTCATCCTTAAATTGTCTTTGAGTATATAGTCGATAACATTGTCCAGGGCCTGTTCTTCCTGCTCTACCAGAACGTTGATTAGCAGATGCTTGAGAGATAGGGAATACCTTGAAAGAATAATCAGAATTATTCAAAAAATTCCAAAGAAAACCTGTAAAGTATCCATTCCCATTTTTGGATTGTAAACCTTCAATTTACAATAACCAGGATCAACGACAAAGAAAATTCCATCAACAGTTAACGAAGTTTCAGCAATATTTGTAGCAACAATACATTTACGCATCCCTCCTGGGGCACGTTGAAATATTTTTGCTTGAAGGTCAGAAGGAAGTTGTGAATATATTGGTAATACAGCAAGAGGGGGTGCCTCATCTAATTGGCCAAGTTTTTCTTTTATAAGTGAGCATGTTACCTTAAAAATATTTTTTAAGAAAAAATGGTGTTTTTAGGGTATCTCCATCTATCCCTTCTCCTTTCTAAAAAATATTACAAATGTGATTTAAATTTTTTGTAGGAATTACTGTTCGTTAGTCGATTTTCATTACCATTATTTACCCAAGGGCGTATCCAGTGGTTAGATTTCATATGGGCTAAAATAGGAGACCATTTGTAATACTCGAAAAAGGGAGGTAATACAAAAAGAAAATGAAAGCAAATAAATCAAGAAGTAAAAAATCCAAAAAAATAACCTCAATATCTTCTTGTCCAGGCATAAAAATTAAAATATCCCCTTCTTGTCCACCCAAATGAATTTGTATTGTTTGTTTAACTGCTGCATCAACATGATCTTCTGCTGGTACTCTTGCATGATATATTTCTACAGGAAATGTTCTTCCAGGAATTTGGAAAATTGGTGTGTGGCCACCAAAGAAATTTGAAAATTTTTCGGCATCCATAGTTGCCGAAGTTACAATTAATTTTATATCGGATCTAATTAAAATAAGGTAATAAATGAAAAAAATAAATTGAAAAAATTAATAAATACCTTCTAGCGACAACATCCCTGAGCAGTCCAAAAAGAACATCTAAAAATAATTATAATCGAACTCGATTTTACAACATTCTGGAAATGAAGAACTGAAATGAACCTAAAATTGGAGGTAGCGTTTAAGCATGACCGCACCAAGGGCGTAGCCAGGGGGTATTTCGGGGAACGGGGATACGCATTTATTACGCACATCTAATGGACAGTCTTAACTACTTAAATGAACGCGCCTAAATTGAGCACACTCACTACCGGGTGAACTAAATACTAAGGTCAACTTGTAAAAAACAACAATCGAATAACCTGTATTTAATGACCGTTCGTGTGCCTCATCCATAATTATAGCAGAATATGAGTCCAAATCGGGATCTCCAAGACATTCTCTTAGCAAAATACCGTCTGTCATGTACTTAAAAAATTTTTTAATCTAAATTGATTTAAATAAAAAACCTTTATAATGGTTTTGTCAGAAGTACAATCTTCAAATCGAATTGCATATCCACATTCCTTAAAAATTAGAAAAATCAGAATAGGATACTTTTGAAAATTTTTTTTAAATTGAAAAAAAAATTCCAAATATTTAATAAATTATGTAGTAATCCCAAAGAAGAGCAATGAAATTTTATTATTTTTTTCCATTCTCTCCTATCAAAATTTCCCAAAAAATTTCTCAAAGGAAAAATAAATAGTCCTACAAAAATAAGTTAAGAAAAGGAATCCCATATAGGGCCCCAATTTTTAGATGACTCTTTGAAGCTCGAAAAATCAGGCCTAATTCAAAGGATAAGGAATATCACTTTATAGCCTTTTCCCCACCTATTGGTAAAGTAAATTTAAAGACCAGTCCTAAATATAAAAGTACCTAATTTTAGGTGTCTAAAATTTAGGTTCGACCAGCATCTTTAAAGATAAATTTAAAAAACCTGTCCAAGTTCAACACCCATTTCTTCAGCAACTCTTTTAGCAACAGACATTGCAGCAACTCTTCTAGGTTGAGTACATCCAATAATTCCTCCTCCAATCTTTCCATAACCATCTTCCACTAAATATTGTGTTAATTGTGTTGTTTTTCCACTTCCAGTTTCACCAACAACAATTACAACAGAATTTTCTCTAATTACTTGTAAAAGTTTTTGACGAACAGCAAATACTGGTAAATATTCTCTTTGCTCTTTTACTGATTTTTCCATTGCGAAAATCGACACAGCTTCAGATTCTTTTAAATGAGAAGCGAATTGTTGGGATTCTCTGAAGAAAAAATTTAATTATGAAAAATATTTTTGGTAATTTTCAGATTTTTTTAAAAGATGGCTCCAAAAATTATAGAAGTTCCAAATAAATACCCGAAAAATTATAAAAATTTTGGGGAAAAATTTAGGAGAGGTAGCGAAATCGAGGGAGGAGCCAATGAACACGAAGAAAATTTAATAGCATCGCAACAGGGTAGGAAGGGGTAAGACCTAGCTTTTAACTTGCTTAAAAATCCAAAAAAATATAATTATACTTATAATTAGTAGATTCTGTTGGTTCTTGTTCTTCTTTAGCTTTAACTCCCATAATTTCACCAATACGAGTTCCTGCCAATTCCCAATGTTTTTCTTGTGCTTTTAACTTTTCTTGTTGTTCTCTAAAATATTTTACTTGTTTGCTTCCTTTACTCGCTGTTATTGCCAAATCTGAAGTAACATCTTTTACCTTAAAAAAAATTAAAAATTCCTTTAAAAAAATCCAAAAATTCATACAGGAATAACAGGCATTGTTTGACAAGTATAGGCTATTCTTCCATCCAAAAATGGAGGTATAATATTATGTACAAGAAGAGAAACACGATTTTCATCTGTTTCGTTGTCGAAAACAGTGTCGTATTCTTCAGAATTTATTACAACACCTAAGAAAGAATTTTAGATTAAATAATAAAGTAGCAGATACTCCCTTTACTATAAATCCTATTACAGATCCCCAATCTAATTACTCTTAAAGGTAATCAAATCGGTCTCGCCTTACTTTAAATGTTAAAAAGGGACTAAAATTGTAAGATCTAAAACGGAAGAAAATAAAGAAAATATAAAAAACCCTCATATAACACGCAGAAAGTCCCAAATTTTTAATTAAAATTTTCAGAAAAACCTGAACGTGCCAATCTATTATTTTCCCACATTTCATTTTCTTTTTTTATTTGTTGCTGTTTTAGTGTTAATCTAGGTTTTTGTCTAGTTTGTTCCATTTGTTTTTCTCTTTTATCGACATATTCTTGTGAAATGTGTGCAAAAGGATTAAATTCATCGTTAAAGCCTTGATCACTTTCATACCTATTTTAAAATAAAAATTAGTCAAAAATAAAAAAATGAAAAAAAAAGTATAAGCAGCCTTTTTGCTAGTTTCTTTCAGTTAGCCTTTGGTATTCAATTATTGTAGTTAACAAAGAATAACTTTATTTATATGAGTAGGGGTGTCGGTTCCTGGAGAATAATTAAATCTTTAAAATCGAACAGAAGAACCAAAAAAATCACAAGCTTTTGGTTAAGCTTCGAACTGGCAACCCTACACATAGATGACTCGTTTTTATTGATTAACATTCATATCTAAATAAGCCCTTATGAGCCAAATGTTGTTAAAACAAGGAAACGACAAAAAAACCAATAACTATTTTACACGAAATATTTAATTAAAAATTTGAATAACCATTCTCTATCCAACATATATTGCTCATTTTCCCATTGTTTGCGTTCACTTTCGTTTTGGAAATGAGGTAATTCGTCATACTTTGGCTTCGTGTCCCCATAACGATAACGGTGATGTCTAAAATTTAATTTCAAAAAATTTGGAAATTTTTAAAATTTTAAAGCTTGCAAAATCATTTAAATAATTCCAAAAAAACCTCTTTTTATAATCCTCTTTCTGTCTTTCTCTTTGTGATTTTAATATGCTTTCAATATTTCTTTCAGAATCTCCATATTTTCTTTCCTTCAATTCTTTAGGCGTTTCAAAATCCCAACCGCTTCTTTTTGCAGATTTATTTATTGAAAGATCGTCTTCTTCCCAAGTTGAACAGGAAGGGGTATTTGGAAGCTTGAAAATTAAATAAATTAGAAAAAAATGTTTAAATTTAAATTAGAATCAATTCGAAAGTTTTGCCTCTAAAATTAGAAAAAAGAACTCGAAAAATAAGCCTCGACTAGGAAATATTAAATCAAAAAGATAAGAAAAATTTAAAAATGTAAAAATCAGACCTGTTCACGGATACGGATACAAATAATATCAGGATGCCTGCGGATATCCGCCGTAAATATCCGGATATGGATACCAAAATCCGTGTCCATGCACAGGTCTGGTAAAAATGATTTAAACCCCACAAACACTTTTGAACAGAAATTGTTGTTCTTTTGCAAAGAAGTGGGAAAACTTATTTGTATAACTCTCCTCTTCTAAATTTTTCAAATTAAAAAGAGTAATCCCAAAAAAACCAAAAATATTATTAAAAACCAAAAAAACCTTAAATTTAGGAGTTTCAACATCTCTAAAAGAATATTTTTGTTTTTCTTCTCTTCTTTCCCTTTTATAACGTTTGTCATAATAATCCTTTCCAGATCTTCTTTCCTCTCTTTTATTTTTTGTATCAGCTTCTATACCTCTATGGTCAATTCCTTTATATTTTTCTTTGACATATCTTTAAAAAAACAAAGGAATTAAAATTTTAGAAAAATTTTCCTTAAAACCCAGTGATATGGAATTTAAATAGGAGGAGGTTGTAGATGAAAATGTGGAGGGAATGAAGAGGTCAGAAAATAAATCTGTCTTAAAACAGAAATTTTGAAAAGAATGGTCATTGACTATTGGAGTAAGAAGAAAATCCTCCAAAGGACTGATAAAATCAAATCATGTATCTGAATATGATGGGAAATAAGTATTCTAAATTTAGAGTAAATTCTAGAATACCTTTTCCAAAAAATAAAATTCTTATTCTAATTGTAAGTTTATATCAGATAAAAATCAAATTCTATGTCGACCTTCAGTACTCGCCCAGGAAATCTTAATGTTAAAAATAAAAAAAAAAATTCAACCTTTTAAAAATATTCAAACCTTTTAATTTCTTCTCGAACACTTTCAGACAATCCAGGTGTCTCATTCCCTTTCTCTTCATCAATAACTTGTCTTTTACGTAAATTTGTAGTTAATTCTCGTTTTGATTTTGCCAATTTATCCAATCCAAGAATTGAAGGCTTTTTGAAATTCTTGTCATCTTCCTCTTTATTTTCTTTTTTACGAATTAACAACCCTCCACGTTCATTCCCTGTTGTTCCTTCTAAAATTGATTCGACTTCCATTAGATATTGAACCTAGAAATATTAAATTAAATAAAAATTAACTGAAGAAAATCAAGAAAAATCAAGCACACTCTGAATCGTTCGGCACTGAAACGACCTTTTACCGAGTTTTCTCTCTCTCTCTAACACTCTCCTCATTTTACTTTTTCTCTCATTTTCCACAGTAAAACTGCAATTTTTCTGATTTTAAAAAATAAATTTTTAGGACTTTTTTCTCGTTTTCTAGATAATTAAAATGTTTTTTCTTCCGCCTGAAGTTCAATTGGATGTGTTCAAATATCTTAATTTCAACCAATTATTCTCTGTTAAACAAACAAATTTTTATTTTCGAAATTTAGTTAATAAATATGAGGGGGAATTGGCTAGGAAGGAATTTTTTGAACTCTCAATAGTAAATATTTATTTATTAACTAATTTTATTTTTCAATTTTTTTAGATAGGTGAAAGTGAAAAGTCTCGTTCATATACTCAAATTGAAAATAAATTGGGAGATTTTGAATTTACTTTAAATAATCAACTTAGAAAGAAGGTTTAGAAATTAATTAATTTTTAATTAAATTTAAATTTATTTTTAGTGGCAAAAAGCGATAGACAAAGCAGTTCCTTTGTTTTTATGTAAATCTAGCAGCAGTTTACTTCTTTATATGAAAACATTTGGTTAAAAAATATTTAAAATCGACTGCGTCTGAGTAGTTTTGACCTCACACAGTTTTAGCTACCGATCGAGTACCGAGTAATTGGGAAAAACGCAGACTCGATTTACACCGAGTCTGTCTGAGCAAGTATTAGGATCCTCCCTCCAAGTATTAGGATCTCAAGTCCGAGCAGCTGTTAAAACTGGGTGATGTCAAAACAACTCTGGCGCAGTCTATTTTAGATAAAATAAATTTTAAAAGATTTTCAAATTTATTTTTTTCAATTTAGTTGACGGAGGTTCTCGTTGTTATATTTTAAAATTGCCAATAATTCCAAAAACTATTGAGGAAATGATTATTATTCGTTGCTGTTTAGAACAACTATTTAATTGTGCTTTTAAATATGCTTATTTTTATTGTTTATTTAATCCACAAATTATCAATATTTTATTTGACAACGTCCAAACAATTCCTTCTCTTCAATTTCACGTTCAAAAATCATATTTATTTGCTACAAGCAAAACAATTGAAAATATTTTGGAATTTTCTACAAATCATTTATCAGTCTCAGAACTACTTAATATCGATTTTACAAATGTTAACATTACAAGGAAATATACAAATATTTTATTCAATATTCTAATAAACGAAGGAAATAAATTCCCAAAAATTTGTTTGACAAGTTACAAGTTAAAAAAGCTTTATGAAATGATTATGGAGGTAAGGTTAAAAACAATGCTGAGTATTGGGCATTTGTTGGCTCCGGCTCCGGGCTTTTAAAATCTTTGCCCCGCTGGAGCCCGGCTCCGGGGCTAGCTCATGGACTAGCTCACCAGCTTCGGGGCTAGCTAGCCATACCCAGCACTGGTTGAAAATACAAAATAAAAATTAATTTTAATTTTTTAGTATATACAAACAACATCGACAGATTGTTCAAAAATGGTTGCTTTTATTAAATTAAATTGTGTTTCACTTCCAAATTTTAAATTAAACGAGAGAGCGGAGAATATTGAAATTGGCCAAGGAAGTAATGCAAGTAAATATACAAAATATCAAATTGCCAATATTTACAATCCAAAATTGAGATTTTCGATTTGCAATAATGTATGGGGTAATTTTTACATTCAAATCAAAAAAATGAAAGAATAGTAATTTAGGAAAACAAAAATAAAATTATTTTAAAATTGTTGTTTTTCATTAAATTTCGATTAAAATGTTTTGTCAAAATTTATTTTCATTATTAGGTATTTAACCGGTTAAAGCTTGTATTTTTTTCATTTTTTGGCACAGACGGAAAAATTTTTTAGAAAGGCCAGAACAGATTTTTTACGAATGTATTATGGTGGAAATGACCAAAAAAGCATAAAATCCATCCCTGTTGAATACCTTTAATTTTTTATTAAAAATTAGTTTTCTCGTAAATTTGTTGTTTGGAATGTTGAGACTTAAAGGTTTTTTTTGGCTAAACCGATCTAGACAAATATGTCATTCAAAAAAGCTTTTTCCCCCGTACGAGAGGGTGAAAACCCTATAAATCCGAAGTCGTTGTAGAGAAAATCGTCTTTTATTAATTGTATTAAATTAATGCCTTTAAAAATTAAATAAAGGGTAATTCTTTAAAATTAAAAAAAATTTTTTTATTGCTCAATTCAGGACATATTTTAAGTGTTAATGGGTATTTTTTGAACAATTTCTTTTTAATTTGTTTCTTTGTTTGAAAAAAATATGTCAGCGCAAACTTTATGGCCCTTTTCTTTTTTTATTTTCACTCATTTCTATTAATTTATTACTTTTTGTGAGGGTATTAAATAGAAAAATGACCAGAGTAAATCTGTAGGAAATGGATCTATGTATTTGTTTTTTCTTAAAATAAAATATTTGAGGGTTAATTGTTGATTTAAAGGGATATTGAGGAATTTGAGGGTTAATCCACTGATATCCCTTTAAATCCAATAAATCCCTATAAATCCAATTATTCACCATAATCATCAGAACTTCGAATCTCCCTTAATAGCTAGTACAAATCTAACGATATCCCCCTCAATCCCCCGATATACTTTCAAATTCCCTTAATCCCTGAACATCCACTTATATCCCTCTAAATACTCAGATATCCCTCCAGATCTATATTAATCCCTACAATCCAATATACCACTTTATCCTTTCAAATTTATATATAAAAATAATTATTTTTTAATAGATTGATTTTTAAATACTCATGGAATGCCGATAAATTTTTAACGGTATTTATCGGTATCGGTTAAGATATACCAAATTTGTCTTCGATATATCTAGGCTAAGGTGGATCGAGGGTATATCCGTTTTTTGAAGACGAAGAACAAAAATCACGCCAATGTTAGCGCACATCCTTAAAAGTCTTTCTTTCTAGGCCAATATATAGAGGAAGGGAGGAGTCAAAACACCCAAATAATTTTTTATATTTAAAGGGCGAAGGAATAAAATGTGAATTTGATCCTTCCTCGCGGTCATTTAAACCTTTTTTTTATTTTTCTGTTTGGTCACTCAAGGGATTATTGAAGTAAGAAGGATTATATGACCTGAGATATGGCCTGAGAGTGAGGCTATAAACTTTTTCGAATCGCATTAAAATGGGGGGAATTTTGGGGCTTTATTATATTTTTATGTCTTCTACTCAGCTGGCATTTTTCTTTATTTTTATTGCTCATAAATACCTAAAACCAAAAAATTTTTTTATCTATGGGAATTATTTGTATGTTGAAAGATCAATCTTGAGTAGTATTTCCATATTTCAACACGCTAATCTGTATTTGAAATTGTTTTTTCATGATTTGATTTAAAAAACGCTCCATGATTTGAAGCAATCTCATAAATAGTAATATTTTTGGATGTTAATGCTTGCATGAACCCTTTCGAATCGCATTAAAATGAGCATTAAAATGAGCTCCTTTAAGCGTTTTTAGGCAATTGTTGAATTTCCAGTTATTTTTGTAAATTAATGCTGAATGAACTTTTCTATATTTCTCTTTTTCAATTAATGGAGATTTTTTATTTGAAAAAATTAAAAATTTTATTTAATTAAAACTTTTTTTTGGGGTTTTTATGTTGTATTGGACATGTCACGTATATTTTTGAAGTCAATGTTTTACACTGACAAATTGGAGTTGAGTGAGGGAAGGGAGAGGTAAAATATGAGAATTTTGTTAAGAAAAGTTTTGAAATCTAACTTTTCCTTCTTTGCGCAGAAATAATTTTAAAAAACGCCAAACTAGCTTTGCGTTTCTTGCGCACATTTAGACAAAAATTAATTTCCAAATATTTTCCCCTCCCATCTTTAAACTTGTGTGTTTTTATTTTTCTTTTTTTTTTTTTTAAATTTAATTTAATCAAACCACAAAACACTTTAAATCTTACAAAATTATATTATCAATTCGTTAAATATAAATTTATTTTCCCCCCTTTTCTCTCCTTAAACACAACCGGCTACTCTTCTCTCCTTTTTAATTTTAATATTAACCCATGAGCGCGAACCAAACAAAAATTTTCTTCTTTTCAAATTTATTTTCGATTGCGCGGTTCAAAGAAAAAGAAGAGAGGGAAAGAAAGGATGGGGGAATTATTTGTGGTGATCAACCAATATATATTTATTTCTTCTTTCTTTTAATTATTTTATCACTGATTGATGCGTAAAGTCGCAACGGAAGTTTGTTGCAGAGGAGAGAAGAGAGAGAAAAACAGAAGGTAAAGAGATATAGTGATTGGGGGTGGTTGTCCTTCAAAAAAGAAATTTTTGTTTAGTCTCAAATCTTTTCTTAACATTTATTGTGGGCTACAACCAAACGGGATATTTTTTAATTGTTTTTGTTTAATTTTTAATTTTATTTAATTGCAAAAAATTTATTGATTTTATTTTCTTTCTTGATCAACCTCAAAATTTTTTTTGATTTTCGTCGATTTTTTACCTTCATTTAAATTTTTATTTTAATTTTCACCTTTCTCGCCTTCTCCTTTTCATTTTTAAATTTTCCTTTGAATTTAGATTTTAAACTCCGTCACACCCCTGTAATCCTTTAAAAGGAACGAAAAGGGCTGTAATATTATGTGTTAATTAGAGCCCGGAATTTTGGTACGGGATACTGATAAATACCGTAAAATACCGTCGGTATGGTAGGTATCGTAGGCCCTAATGTTAATGGATATTTTAAATTTTTATTTTTTAATACTTAAATTAAATTTATTTTATAATTTATTATTAAAATTGCTCTTAAACTCTGTTTCAAAATTCTTTTCTATTTTTGGATGCCACTTTAAGGTAGTGGCTAATTTAGTGATTATATTTAGTTCCGTTTTTCGTTTAAAGTTTATGTAATTTTTTCTGTCAAAATTAAGTTTTCTCCCAAAACGGATAAAAGGGCAAATTACTCAAAATTAATTTCATTCTTTAAAATTTCACAAAATAATTAAAAAAAATTTTTTAGTCAATTAAAAGGCAATTTTAGTATTAATTTATTTTTAAAATTTAACTTTAATGAAAACAAAAAAATATTGTAAAAATAAGCAACAAATAATAAAAAAGGGAGATAAAAACAACGTTGTAAGGAAAGGGAGCTGCTAATTTTTAGAGGAGAAAAAAGATTTTTCTAAAATTTTTAAGAATTTTAAATTAATTAAAAACAACAAAAATTATAAAAAAAAACATAACGCCAAAATTAAAAAAAAATTTTTAAAATTTTTTCAAACAACCTAAGAAACTCAGAAACAAATCAACAAAAATCAAAATCCAGACATAACTCCAAAAATTTTTTTTTAATTTAAACAATGCTTCTTATTGACAGCAGCAATATTAAAAATACAAAAAATAAAATTAAATTTAAAAAAATTCCACAAAACTTCTCGGTGCTAAACAAATTTTACTTAATTTTATTTATTTTATTCTCAACTACAATATCAACTACCTCTTCTTCTTCATCATTTTTATCTCATTTTAATTCTCCTTTTTCTTCTTCTCAATTTACAGAAAATTTACAAACTAATTGTATGTTTTTTAAAGGAGAAGAATTGTTTAAATATGTAGTTTGAGCTAAATTATACTAAAACACCCTTCTTGAACAGAAAAAAATTTGACGTTATAGGCCAACTTTAGTGAAGGTAAGGACCAAGGATGTGCCCTTTCGTCTTTCTTCTTTCGCCGAATTTTCGCCTTTTTTTCGTGTTTCGTCTCTCGCTTTTTAAATTTTGGCACACCATTGGTTAATGTATATACATAGTACATTGAGGATGTCGAACAAGTAAGGTCCGACTCTAAAAATTTAAGAGAGTCATACACTTTAAGAATTTCGTACAATTAAAGAGAGACGTACAATTAGAACCACACCCGTTCAGAACCTCCAATCTTTTCGAATTCAATCCCCCACTATGGTTATACTGAAGACTGGTATATAAAGTAAGCATGTCACAGATTGAGAAAAAATTCGTGTTGGATTTTGGAAAGGGGAAGATATTAAATTAAATTTGAATCATAAATTAATATCAAATTAATCCTTCTCAACATAATTTAAAAATTATTTTTAGTCGTTCCACCAAGATTTAAACAAAATGCTCGAATTAATCAAGTTTATTTGAAATTTTAAAAATTATAAACAATTTTTAAATTTTGTGTAGTTTGCCTATCTTGGGGACAGTATTAAATTTAAGTGCAATGCTGTTGGGAGACCTCAACCTAAAGTGCATTGGTATAGAAATGGAAAATATATGAATTATAGGTTATTTAGTTGTTGTTGTTGATATAAGACGTGGGGGGAGGGAGGGTTTGAAAATTATGGGGAAGGGGGGGGGGTTGAAATTAAAATTTTCTTTCAAAATAAATTTACAATTAAATTCTCAGTTATTTGGCCTCCCATTCACGTTTGAAAGAAAAAGGAATGTCTTTGGAAGTTCATAGAATAGAAGTTAGCGATAGAGTTGGTTAAAAAAATTTTTTGAAAATTTTTAAAAATCTTCAAAATAGGGTAATTGGACATGTCGAGTATGGAATAAAGAAGGATCTGTTAGTAGGTAAATTAAATGGGGGGGGGGGCTTAGAATATAATAAAATTAAAATTTAAGGAATTACACTTTGCATATTGTTGGTAGGTTATTTTAAATAATTCTTTTTTCAAAAATATTTTGCTGTGTATTTTTGCACACTTAACGATTTTTATAAAATTTTTAACAAAAAATCTTTCCTTTTAATCAAAAAACACTTCAAATTGATTTACGCTTCCTAAAATTTATTCGGTCATTCAGTGAGATGGGAAAGGGACAGAGGTGGTCGGAAATCGGAAATGGCTCAAAAGTTGGAACTAGGAAATCAGCCTAAATTTTCGGAAATCGGAATTCCGACCCACCTCTGGGGAGGGGGAGCTTCCCAAGTATTATCCCCATATTTAAGACCTCCTCATTACCAGATACAATTTTTTGTTTGAGAAGTTAACACAAAAAATACTAACAAAATCTAATCCTCCCAACACAGATTTTTGTGATTATTTCCTAAACGTCGGAATCCACCCCAGCCGAGTCCCAGAAGAATGTCTCTGTCAATGGGTTGTTCAACACAAAGAATCTTCAAACAAAGCAGCAGAGGACCCTTTATTCCATTTAAGGGCTTTACCCCAATTAAGGGCGGATATTGATTTGAGTGGATTTTTAACTAATTTTACAAAATGCCAAAAATATTATAATGAAGGGAAAATTGAAGAAATTGTAAAATTGAGAACACAACCAAGAATTTTAAATAAACAACAAAAGGAAAATAATCAACAAAATAGTAAAAATGATTTTAGGTAATTTTAAATATGTAAATAAAGGCAAACTAAAGTAGACGTTAAAATATCTAACTATAAATATAGCTAAGAGCTTAAATATAGCCTTCATTCATATCGGCAAAACCATAGGTTGCATTTAGGTTGCACTTTTGCATTTAGGAGCAAAGCTCTGGCAAATTTTTATAAATTATACTTAGCGAGATATAATACAGACATTTGCCTACCATTCTTCAAAACTTTTAAGTAATTCAATAGAAGCAACTTGTTTGAGGTGCACTTATATGTAAAGTCCTAATACTTTGGGAGGACTTTTGTCGTTCAGCACATTTATCTGAAATTACTTAATATATTATATTACATTTAAGCGTTCTAAAAATTTAATAGCTATTTCTGTCCTAATCGGTTGCTGAAACTGTGCGGATTAAATATTTTTGGGTGTCAGTTTTTTACTGACAAATTATTATAAAATTTAAAGTCAAATCCCTCGAGTGCCTAACCTATATTTAACTAATTATTTTAACACTGTTTGGTCATCTAACAATTATGAAACTAAAAATAATTGTTTATTTGCTGTGTTTTTTCTAGCCTTAAAAGCACAACCACCACAACTAGCACAACCAACCCAATAACAACTTTTAGTGCCGTGTTGTCCACAACTACCATTCCAAGCACAAAACAACAAAAATTTCGTCCCTCGCTTAAAAGTAAGTCTAAAAACTTTTTTAGACCCAATCAAGTTCTTTGACTATTTGGCCGAGGGGGAAGTGCCAGAACTTGGGCATCTTTTACCAAATTTGATTTCTGGGTCCTCCCTAGCTTTTTTGAGAAGAGAATTACCTTCAAAATGGCATTCGAGTTTAGATTTGTCGGCAAAAATTGAATTATCTAAACAATTGTTGAAAGGAATGAAGGAAGAAAATTTTCAAAAAACGGAAGAAAAAGTAGTGGAAGAGGAGGAGGATGAAGAAGAATCGGAAGAAGATGAAGAGGAGGAGGAGGAAGAGAATGAGAGGAAGGAAAGTACAACAAAGGGATGGACGGATAAAAAAAGTAAATTGAGTGCCTCTTTGGTTAACAAACAACGTTTTCAGCTACCTCAGAGAGGTACTCCTTTTATAATTAATGTGGAATTCATGATATACCTATCATACTTATCGCAGTTTATCTAAGAATATTAGCTTAAAAATTTCCTGGATCTGTTTTGTATCTGGCACAGTTTTGTGGATCTGACCTATTCAAATTTAGGCTCCAGATTCGGAACCGAAGGAGGATATTGTTATAGGAATTCTCACTTTATCGTTAAAGGCAAAAAGTTCGAGAATTTTGAACGGCTATAGGCAAAAAAGGTGCGTGCCAAATGCCAAAAATTAGCCAAAAATGGATTGCAAATGCCATGACGCACGGATCCATATTTCCACCCGAATTTCAAACTCTGTATTCCAAAAACAAATTAGTTTTTAGTTGCTCCATACTTCCGCAAGTCTGAAGAAGATACCCGAACAAATATAGTAATTCCAGCAGGAAGAACACTGAAACTTTCATGTAAATAAATTTTTTAAAATATTCTTTAAAAATTTATTCAAAAAAAGGTAAAGCAGGAGGTCAACCAGAACCTCAAGTAGTGTGGAGAAAAGGAAATGAAGAAATACTTAGAGAATCGGAAAGCAAAACAGGTTCATTGTATCAATTGCGAAAGTGGAGTTTAGAGTTGGAAGATGCTGCTGAGGCAAGAAAATTTTAAGAGATTTTTTGGATGCTAGCAGATTTCTGGCAGATTATTAACGATTAATTAATTATTTATTTTGTAGGTGGACAGTGGGGAATATACTTGTGAGGTTTTCAATTCTGCTGGGTCTATTCTGCGTCGATTTCATGTTGAAGTATACATATTAAAAGTTTTTACTCTTAACTATCGAATTTTTAGTGAAAATAACTGGAATAATTTAATCATTCCAACTTAATTTTATTGTCTATGACTAAATTATAAATTTAAAAATTTTGTTTTTTAAATAATCCCTTTAATAGGTTCAAGATAGAATACGTGCTCGACCTATTCTTGTACCCAATGTTCTTCAAAATAGAACAGTTGATGTTAACGGAACAGTTAATTTTACATGTCAGGTAGTTTACAATACAGAGAAAATATTTTTCAAATTAAAAAAATTTTTTTAAACATTTTTAAAAATATTTTTAAAATTCTTGGAAAATTGTTTAAAACATTTTCAATTTATGTAAAATTCTCAAAAAGAAAAAATAATAAGCTAGAAATGAGAGAAAATACCGTATAACAGTAGCTCAGTGCGCGCTCAATGAAAACGAGCGTTTAAAGAGCTACTATTATTTTAATTAAAAATTCCAAAAATTTTCAAAAAAAAATCTTTCTCTAAATAGGTCATTTCTGATTTGGTCCCTCACGTTATTTGGATTAAATTAATTAAACAACCAGAAAATGGCTCTTTTTTAATTTGGGATGAAAAAGAACAACGAGAAACTTTAAATTTTGTTGATATGACAACATTAAAAAATAGAGTAAAAATATTTCACGACAAAAGAAGTAATAGATACACTATGGAATTGAGGAATGTTTCTATGTCAGATCAAGGGTTGTATTCTTGTGTGGTTGGAAATACTCTTGGATTGGTAGGGGATTTTTTTGATTTTGTTTTGTGTTACAAGACGGGTTCTGAAACTTAAGCCTCAGAATTGCAATACGCTATCGAATCCCTAATTTCAGAAACTTTCTAAAATCAACTTTTAATTAGACCTGGACCGAGACGAGATCTCGATTGAAAATTTCGGTTATCGAGATCGAGAATTTTTCGAGATTTAGATCTCGATTCTTGTACGACACTCTCAGTCAAGTCTCTACTTTTAATCCTATTGAGAAAAAATGGCAATTGTTTTTTATCTTTTCCACTCACCATTTTGTGACTTTCAAAATTGTTACGAAGAATAATATGTTAAAAACTTTCAATACATTTTTTTTCAAAAAAACAGTCAATGGGCAATGCAACATTAACAGTCAATGAATTTCGTTCTTTAACATTACCAACAGAAGTTCCAACACCTTGGCCTTTATCTTATACAGTTTTATTAATTCTTTCATTTTTATTGTTATGTGCATTTATTGCTTTATGTTTATTATATTTATTTTTCTCGCAAAAATTTTCTGTAAAAAATAGAGTGCAAAATTTGGATAAAATGTCTGTACGGAAAAAGGTAAAATATTAAAATTAATTATTATTTATATACCTAATTATCTTAATAATGCGTGAAACAAAGTTTCTTGACCAACAGAAAATACCGAATAATAGTAGCTCTTTACGCAATCGGTAGAAATGAGCGTTTAAAATGCTTCTACATAGATATATGGGAAAAAGATCAAAATTTTCCAAGAATTTTTGTAAAAATATTTTATTGAAATTTTCGTATTCCTTTCAGAAACTAAAATCTAGATTAGTCAGAACATAACTAAAAATCAAGTAAAGTAGCGAATAAAAGTAGCTCTTTGCACGCTCAGTAAATACGAGTTTCTAAAAAGCTTATAAGTATGGAAAAGGCTTAATTTATCTCTCAAATCCTTTATGAAAATTAATTTCTAAAATTTAAAAGGTAGTAATAACTCGAAAACCTCAACGTGAAGGAGAGCATTGGTCTGATCTGGCATCAACTTATTCCATTACTGTAGAACCTGTTCCGGTACTTAGACAACATGGAGGACGGGGGACTAAAGCTACTCCTGCAGGAACAAGCGGGACAGGGGATACAGTAAGTAGAAGAAGGGATCTGTTTGGAAAAATAGGAAATTTTCGCAATCTGTATCCTACAAAAAATTATGAATGCAGATAAAATTTTTTGTTCAAAAGCTAGTTAAAAAATTTGAATTAAATAATAAAATAGTTAATATTAAGTAAAATTAATTTTTTTCAAAGGTTCCCTTAATGGATTCTACACAACAATTATTACAAGGGAATATATTAGAATCTTCTCTTTTGTCTGATTATGAAGTTCCAACAGATTCGACTTGGGAAATTGAAAGAAATAGATTACAATATGTTGATATTTTGGGGGAAGGTGCCTTTGGGGAAGTTTGGCAAGCTTTGTTACAACCAAAGAAGAGTAATGAAGATAAGGAAGAGAAGGAAAATAAACAAGAATTAAACAAAGAAATGAATCAAACAGAGCCGGTAAATTGTTAAAAATTGAGAAAAAACAATTTTGAAGGAGGGGATTTTGTGGGGGTGTCAACCGTCTGTCATCCTGAAATATGTAGAACAATCTAGGGAAAAGCTCCTGCTAAATAAAAGCAGCTTAATTGTTTGTCAATAAACTTAACTTGGAATAAGTCTCGCTTTCCGAGACTAAAAAACCCGAGAAATTTCTCGATTCGAGACCCGAAACCGGGAATCTCGAGCATCACTAATTTACACTCACATTAATTAACGGATTATGAATTTTCAAAAATATTTCTTTCTAGAAATTTTTTCGAATAATTCTCACTCATTAAAGGTACCTGTTGCTGTTAAAAGATTAAAATCGGCGGCTCAAGAGCGTGAATTAATTATTCTGGCAAGTAATTTTCTATTTTAAAAATTTAAACAAAAAAATGTTGAAATCTCCTTATCATATTCAATACCTTTCCCATTAAGATTTTAGTTTAGAACTAAAATTAAAAAATCTTTCCCTAGGTCTCAGAAATGCAAATACTCAAAACTATCGGTCACCATCCAAACATTCTTCGACTTATTGGGTGTTGTACGGGTTTAGGCCCTCTACTAGTAATTCTAGAACTTTGCGAACATGGAAATTTGAGGGATTTTATGCGAAGACACAGACCTAAAGAACAACAAAAATTAAAAGAGGAGGAGGAAGAGAAGGAAGAGAAGGAAGAAAAAGTGGAGGAAGAAGTGATGGAATTGGAGGATGATGGACTTGGGGTTGGGGGAATGTATCAGGTTGTAATCTTAATATAGGAACTTTTTAATTAGTGGATATGTCTGTATTGAAAAACTGATTCTAAAATTCTTATTTCTACGATTACCTTGACAATCCTAACTGTGGCAATAGAAGACACATCCTCTCCTTTTTAGCGCCATAGGCGAAATTTTTTTGAATTCTGTAAGGCTATGAAGCAAATTTTTTCAAAAATTCGAAAATCGAAATTTCGAAACAAATCTGGTCTAGACTTAATAAAAACGAAAAAACTAATATCCAGAAATTTCTAATTTAAAATTTTTTAAAGAACGTCTCAATAGTAGACACTACAGGGGGTGATCACCAATCAACACATTTACAACAACCAGAAAAGCAATTAACATTAAAAGATTTGGTTCAGTTTGCAACAGAAATAGCTAGAGGGATGGAGTTTTTAGCGAGTAAAAAAGTAAAGAAATTTTTTTGAAAAATTAAAAAGAAAATTTTTTAAAGATAATCCACAGGGATTTGGCTGCCAGAAATGTTTTGGGTAAAAAATTTTTTTGGAATTTTTTTTTAATTTTTATTTTAAAGTTGCTAGTGATTTGACAATGAAAATATCAGATTTTGGATTGTCTAGAAATGTGTTTTATCACGATTATTATAGAAAGAGGGGGGCTGGTAGATTACCGATGTAAGTAAAACCTTTTTTGAAAAAATGGTATTCGGGAAATGCTTTTCTGGGATTATGATAGACTAACAAAAAATGATAAAGAGTAATTTACCGATAAAGAAACGATTAAGACTAACCAATAATTTGCCAATTATTTAAAATTGACATCCAAAAATAACAAAAAAAAATGAGTGAAAACTGCACCAACAAAAAGACCACATAACTTTAATAAAATTTAAATTTAAATAAAATATATTAAGCAAAATTGTTCAAGTCTCTCTACTATTTTTACCCTACCATATAAGTGACCTTTCTAATTGGATAAATTTATAGAAAAATTTTTACAAATATTCTTATAATAGAATAAGATGTACTAAATTTAAAAAAATCCTTAAAAAATATTTTCCTCATTAAGAAAATGGATGGCACCCGAAGCTCTCGAAGCCAATGTTTACACAGTAAATAGCGATGTTTGGTCTTATGGTGGGAAATCAAATGTCTTTCTAATTAAATTTTGCTTTTGAAGGTATTTTGCTTTGGGAGATTATGACACTTGGAGTAAGTTGGAAAGAGTCTAAATTTGAACGAAAAAAATATTTTTAGGGAACTCCATACCCTTCTATTGCAATGCCCCAACTTTACAATCTTTTAAAAGAGGGATATAGAATGGAAGCACCTCATAACTGCCCTGATGAGGTAAATTTGGAATAATAAATTGGGGAAATCTCTAGAAATTTCAAACAGGGAATTAGAGTAAAAAAATGTTTAGGAAATTGTACTTGAGAATGTAGTGTATTTCCCACCGAGAGAAAATGTCACACTGATAGTTTTTTCAATAAATCTTGGTTTATTAGCTCGGCATCAGGGGTGTGCCGAAACGGATTTTAAAAAGCGAGACGCGAAACTGGCACACCCCTGCTGGGCATGTGTAAGAAAGAAAGGAGATCTAGCTGATTATCATTTAACCAGCTATCATTTAACCAAGAAAGGCCTGAATTTAACTAGCTAGGTGCGCGGGAGTGCTCTTCTATTAAAAGAGGTGCATTTTTAAATGCTCCGCGACAGCGCCTATTTAATAATAACATCTAGAGAATAATCGCTCCACAGGCGATTATTCTCTAAGAGATTGGATTTTTGCTTTAAAAATTTTAAAATGTCAGTCAAAGTTTAATAGCTCCATTCATTCAAATATTTTTTCCAAACAGATTTATGGTGTAATGGTCAGTTGTTGGCAAGAAAGGCCTGAAGCCCGTCCAGCATTCCAAACTATTGGAGATTATTTTGAATGGATAATAAAAGAGTCTGAAAAGACTGCTGATATTTCGGTAAAGAGAATTTTTTGGAAGAAAAAAATTTTTAGAAAAAATTCAGAGAAGTGAAACAGAAAATGGAGGGGAAACAACAGATGAGGGGCCCTATGCAGTAATTCCTGAAGGCAGTCAGGAAGACAGAAAAGGGCCTGGTGGGGGTGGGAATAATGGAAATAATGGATTTACTGGAATGAGGATTGGAAATGGGAAAGAGAAGAGTATGTCTAGGCCAATGTCTGCTCCCGGGCTTACGAGTTTTGAGGTGAGAAGGACATATTTTGGATTCTTGGGTTGTCAGTCAGATTAAAACTTTTAAAATATAAATCCAGTTTCTAATGATTGGGTTAACTTTATTTGTCAAATCGGCCTTTAAAAATTTATATATTTCTCCAGTCATTTTCCCAAGAGGGCATAATAGCCTCTACAACAACGGTCCTAACATGTTGTGAATCTTCTGATAATGAAAGTACAAACAACACAAACAGTAGCAGTACATTAAATGCTACTCGAAGGGATGTTATCCAAATAAATACAGACAACAAATCAGAAAGAAGAAGGTCTTTATTGGAACAATTAAAAAAAGTTGTTTGGACAGGAAGTAATGCTAGTAATAATGAAAATAAGTTAATTGAAGTAGAAGATGAAAAGGAAATACAAGAACAAATTAAAAGGAGAAGAGGACAGTTACAACAACAGGAGGGTATTGAAATTAGTGATGAAGCTATTTATAATAATGTAAATTTTGTTTGTTTTTTTTTGAAAGTGAGAGGGAAATTGAAAGGGAAATAGGTCTGAAGAATGTTGAAATTTGTAAAAAAAGATTTTAGGAAAGTTTTCTAAGGAAAAAGAATAGGACATTCTCTTAAATTTTGCCGAGTAGCTTGTTAAACGCTCGTAATTACCGAGCGCGCAAAGAGCTCTAGGATTGACAGTCATAAAAATTACGACTACGAATGAAGGTGGGAGAATAATTTAAGACGACTGAAATATACCTAGTATATAAATAAAAATTGCTTAAGAGTTCCCTTTGAATATAGTAAAACATCAAAATTTTTAATTCCAATTTTCCAGTTCCAACCAGTCTCAAATTTCTACGCAAACACGCCAACTCAGAGCTTGATGTTTCAGCCTTGTTCATCTACAGCAACATTAGATATAGTACAACCAATTAATGAACAATCAAAACAAAATCCTTTACTTCAACAACCTCCACCCCCTCCACCGCCTTCACATACATTACCTCCGACATCCAATCGACCAAAAAAGAAGTCGAGTGCTTCGGAACATGGATTAAGAATACGTGGGGTTTTCCATGGTAATCCTCAAAGAAATAATAGAAAAATACGGGCGAAAATAATACTCCAACTTTATACATAAAAAATAAATTCCCGATTTCGAGAATCGAGTAGGCAAGACCCTTGAATAACCCTAAAATAATACTTTAGAATTAAGTGGAACTGATTGCTGATAGGATTACAAATTCCATCGAATTTCGAGTCGATTTTATTGACAAATTTTGATAGAATTTGCAAGCTATATTCGAATTTTCGATCTTTTGGAAATTGTTGGATCGAGTATCTTTCGAAACAATGCCTTTCTATTGAGGATATCCATATAGAGATTTATGTTCATATTATCTATAAATTCTAGAATTTTCCTCATAATTAAGAAGCTACCTAAACCTTCCATAGGTTTAATGGGGATTGTATGTCTTTTTTGAGCGGAGGTTGCTAACAGAGTTGCTAACAGTTGTTAACAGTTCCACCTTCCGCTTTTAAAAATTCCTGGTTGCCACCATTACTAAAACCGAGGCTTAAAAACGGTATTGGTTATGGTTCCGGAAGCTTTCGAACTATCCGTAGCAGAGCCAAGGAAAACGTTCTGAGCCTTCTTTATGAATTATAATACTTTAAAGGAAGTCAACAATCCTCTACTCAATGCCTAATAAGAGGTTCATCTTCTTCAACTTCTTTCGGTCAATCCCCTCCATTAGACAACAAAATTCCAAAAAAAGTTTTGGTAGACTGGAGATCTTGTTCAATAGATTCTTCGAGTTCTGGACGAGGAGGGTCTTCTGCAATGTCTAGTGCCGATGCTCTTTTAAATGGAAATGAGGAAGAAGAAGAAGGAGAAGAGAAGGGAGGAGATGGAAAAAGGGAAGAATTATTAATTGGAAATAAAACATTGGAATATGTTAGTATTATACCTATTGGACAATTCCCTGCATAAAATTTTTTTGAATTTTATGTTTCTGTAATCAGTGTTTAATAGGCTATAAGAAACTGTGACTGTAAGTGGAGTTCGGATTTTAGTCATAACTTTTTGTTTCATCAATAAATATTACTAAAGTTTTGTATGATTCGAAAGGTCTCTAACTGCGGCAACTTTTTGGACTGTCACATCTGTGTATTTTACAAAAATAAGTGATAAACGACGCCACAAAAGCAGAAAAATTCTGATAAAATCAGTCCAAAGATAAAAAGAAAATCATGAAGGCTACGGTTATACTCTGAATCGACTGCACTGAAATGACCTTACTTGTTTTGTCTAATTCTTTACTACTCTCTTCAATTTAGTTTTCTCTTGTATAAAACTGCAAATTTTCTGATTTTAAATAAAAATTTTTTTACGATTTTTTTTTGTTTTTGGTTTATCAAAATTAAAATGCTTTCTCTGCCAATTGAAGTTCAATTGGATGTGTTGAAATGTCTTAATTTCAACCAATTATTCTCTGTCAAACAAACCAATTTTTATTTTTACAATTTTATCAGTGGACATGAAGTAGTATTGGCTGGAATGAAATTCTCTAACTTTTTATTGGTAAACTTTAATTTTATTTAATCTTCCTTATTGAATATGAAAAGTAGAGAGCGGGCTGGATCTGGATCCAGAGTCCAGATCATGCCATTTTTCAGCGTTCCTTTTTCCTTGACTCAAGGTCAAGAATCTGGTCAAGGTCCTTACTTAAAATCAAGGACAAGGTTTTTTGAAAATCTCGCCCTCTAATGGAAAGAAACGAGAGTTAAAAAAAGTTAAACAAAAAAATAAGCAGATCGGAGAGCTGAGTCGAATGACTTAGAGAAGTTATATCTTTTGATAAGTGTCTCTCCATATTCCATAGTTTTTAATCCTTAATTTCAGACAAACGATATTCGGCGATTAAAGTCGTATAAATTTATTGAACCTCATTCTGGATTATTTGAATTTATTTTAACTGATCAACTTAAAAATAAGGTTAAAAATTAATTTTTCATTAAATTATATATTTATTCTTTTCAGTGGCAATCAGCAATAAATGAATCAATTCCGTTATTTTTAAATGAATTTGGATCTGGCTTGGACTTTTTTATTTGTATAGTTACAGGTGGACAAATCTTTCTTTCATTGCTTCATGAGCTGCTTCTTAAAATCCTTTAATCATTCTCTAAAAAACTTTCCTTTTCAGAGGGAGGGGCAGTACACAGAGAGGGGCAATACACAAACACAGGGGCAATACACATTCTCCGGGATTGCCCAAATTTTTCTTTTTTTGCTTTATTAAAGCCTCATAATTTCCCGAAAAACTCCTATCAAGAGGGAGGGAGGGGGCAATACACATTTCTCAACTAGATTCTTATTTTTTAAATTTTAATTTAGACTATCAACTCTTTCTATTTATCTTTTTTATATTTTTAGTAGACAACAAAAAATACATTTTAAAATTGCCAAAATTTCCCAAAAATATTGAAGAAATAATTATTATTCGTTGCTGGTTAGAACAATTATTTAAATGTGCCTTTGAAAGTGCCTGTTTTAATAAATGTGTTTTTAATCCAGAAATGATTAATATTTTATTTGGCAATAACTCTCTTCATTTCCACATTCAACAACCACAATTATTTCCTTCTTTGGGAATTTCTGGAAATATTTTGAATTTAGCTTTAAATAATTTTAAAAATACGGAGAGGCTTACAATTGATTTCCATTTTGTTGAAAATACAGAAAATTATACAAATATTTTATTCAATATGTTAATTAATGGAGGCGAGAAATTCCCACAAATTTGTTTAAAAAGTTTTAAGTTGACAGATCTTTATGAACTTATTTTAAAAGTAAGTTGAGGGTAATAGTTTGGAAGTCACCCCCAACCCTTTTCCTTTCTATTTTTTCCTAGTTTTTTCTCATTTTCTGGCAAATTATATATCATTTTAAAGAGCTCTTCGAGCGGAGTCGAATGACATTAAAATCAACGAAATCTGACTTAAGTGCGCAAAGTTATGACCGTTTATTTTACCCCCTTGCATTGCCTCCAAAAAATTTTCCCAACAAGGATTTAGCTTCATAATTTTAGTAAGAATGATCAGATCTAGCCATTCTTGGGATCATTCTACCAAGCTCGAAGAGCTCTTTCGAATGATTTATAGAGGATTATATATCTAACAAAAAAGAGCTCAAAATGGTCAGGGAAACAGGAAAAAAGGGAGGGCGACTTCCAAACTATTAACGTGAATTGTCTAAATGAGAATTAAAAATGAATTTAATTTTTTAGTATATAACAACATCTCGAGACTTTTCAAAAATGGTGCCTGTTATTATTTTTGACCGTATTTCCTTTCCAAATTTTCAATTAAACAATCGGGCAGAGAATGTTGAAATTAAGGAATTAAATATTCCTGTAGTCAGATATACAAATTACCAAATTTCAAATATTTACAATCCAAAGGAAAGATTTTCATTTTGCAATAAAGAATGGAATGGATCTGTTGTTTACATTAAAATCAAAAAATTAAAGATTAGAATTTGAGAGGGTGAAATACGAAAATTTTAAATGATTTTATTTGACAAAAAATATTTTAAAAAATTATTGTTTTTCATTGATTTTAGATTAAAAATTGTTTTTTGTTTTGATTGAATTTTTTTCCATATAGAAAGGAGGGAGTAACTTTGGGTGGGTAGAGCTCCCGATAATACTTTGGCTGACACCCTTCTAAAAACTAAGGAAAAATACCATTCCAAGGAGGTAAGGAAAAAATTATTCAGCCCTCCTTTTCATCCCTCAGGTCAAGGCCGGCCAATTTATTTTCAAATACTTTTTAATAAATTTCCGCGCAGTATCCAATTTAATGTGAACACAACAAAACTAAAATTTTATCGTTTTTAGGCAATCTGCCCGAATTTTGTCTGTTGCTCTCTCCTCATTTAGCTATACATAGATGACTGATTAATTATTGACTAAAATTGACAAAAACTGATAAACTTTCAAAATTAAAATGAAGAGTAAATACATAAAAGCATTTAAGTAAATGTGAACACAACATAGCTAAAAATAAAAATTTCGAAACATAATTTCCTTTCTTTAACCAAAATTCTCTCCACATTCTAGTCTGTCAATAAGGCCGACCCGCAGCTGCTTTGAGAAAAGAATTCCCTTACCTGCTTACCTGCCAGACAGAAAAGTTTTGTTTTTCAATTTTAGATATTAAATTAATTTAAAATTAAAATGTTTTCTCTATCACCCGAAGTTCAACTTGATATATTAAAATGCCTTAATTTCAACCAATTATTCTCTGTTAAACAAACAAATTTTTATTTTCGAAATTTAATTAATAAATATGAGGGGGAATTGGCAAAAATGGAATTTAATAAACTTTCAATAGTAAATAATTGTGAAGTAAACTTTTTTTCCACCAAAATTTTTTTAGATTGATACAAACCAAAAGTTAAATTCAAGTAACATAATTAATCTTCAATCTCGGATTTTTGAATTTACCTTAGATAATCAAATTAAAGAAAAGGTTAAAAATTAGTTTTTAATAAAGTAAAAAAACAGGTTTTAGTGGAAGGCAGCTATAGACAAATCAATTCCGTTGTTTTTACATAATTTTGAACCGACCAAAAAATTAGTTTGGATTACTACAGGTTTACAAATATTTTAGGGCTTCAGGCAAAAAAAAACAAATAATTCTTATTTCTAAAGTGCCTTTCGATATTTTCGAAGGAGGAGGGAAGGGGACTCGTATGTGACAATATTATTTTAAGACTGTTCAATAACATCCCTATTTTTTCTATTTAGGGGACAGAAACCCTGATTATATTTTAACATTTCCAAATATTCCAAAAAATATCGAAGAAATGATTATTGTTCGTTGCTGGCTGGATAAACTTTTTGATTGTGCTTTTGGATCTATCTATTTTTATAAAAATGTGTTTAATCCAGAAATGTTAACTATATTATTTTATAACGACCAAGCAATTCCTCCTCTTCAATTTAAAAATCAAAAATCATATTTATCTGCTACCATCGAAACATTAGAAATTGTTTTGAAATTTTCTTTGGATCATTTATCAATTTTTGAATTTCTTAGCATCAATTTTGATGACTATGGAATTACAGAGAGACACACAAATATTTTATTTAATATTTTAATAAATGAAGGCAATAAATTCCCAAAAATTCGTTTAGGAAGTTTTAGAGAGTTAAATCTTTATTATCTTATTGTTAAAGTAAGTGTTTGGTATTTACAAGTTAAAGTTTAAAAGGGAACATTCCGAACTATATATGTGAAATGCCCTGACCCCCATTTTTTCGAAATGGGGGGCAGGGCTAAAAAAGCCGGAGACCGTAATAGGTTTTCGATCCTGCTCTACACGATGGTGCAAAAAAACTACAAAATTTTCACATACAGTTCGGAATCCTGAGGGCTCGTTTTTCGGGGAGCGTTGGAGGATTACTGACAATAAATTGTGAGTGTTATTCTGTCAGTCATCCTCAAACGCTACCCGAAAAACGTGCCCTCAGGATTCAGAGTACAACTCTACTTTTTAGTAATTTATATTTAAGTATATAATAACATCCAAAGATTGCTCTAAAATGGTGTCTGATATTATTTTTGGTTTTTACACTTCCTCAACTTTTAAATTAAATGAGAGAGCAGAAAAAGTTGAAATTAAACATTCACATAACATAAAATACACAAATTACCAAATTGCCAATATTCACAATCCGGAAATGAGATTTGCAGTTTGTAATGAAGAATGTTATCGAGGATTACTTTTTTACACTAATATCAAAAAAATTAAAGAATAATTTTGAGAAAATAAATATTTTATTTTATTTACGGGGAAACAAAATATTTTTAGAGTTTTTGTTTTCTTCTTATGCTTATTAATTTTTTATAAATACATTTAAAAAATATGTATTTAGCTTTTTCTTGATTTTTTTGATATTTTAGTCCACAATATTCTTTAACAGGTTAAAGCCTGCTAATTTATTTTTGAATATTTTGAAGAGTTCCGCAGGAATATTTTGAAGATTTTATCATTTTCTCTTTTATTCTCCTCATTTTGTTTTCTCTCATTCTCCCCAATAAAGCTTCTACCTGCTTTTCTGATTTTAAATAATAAATTGTATGTTACAATTTTAAGTTATTCTAAACATGTATTGTCTCACAATAAAAATATACAGAATATGAAATTTTAAATATTTACAATCCACAAATGGAATGGAGAAGAGAATTGAGAATTAAAGTTCGCTATAATTTAAGATTTAGTTGATTTTATTATATTTAATCTCTCATTCCCCACAATAAACCTGCTACCTACTTTCCTACTTTTCTGATACTATCTAACACAATAAACCTGCTACCTACTTTTCTGTCCCATAACTTGTAAATTTGACCCTGTAAATTTGATCTCTTAGAATACTTGATATTCCGAGTTTCGCCCCCACTAATTCCACTCTATTCCATTGAGGCATATTAAATGGGAAATTAAATGGGAAACATTCATAAATGTTTATACAACTCTTACTCTTTTGCCATTATTTTTCAAAAGTTAGCCTATCGAAATTATTTCAATCAAAAAGGATTATTTTTTATATATAAAATTAGAATTTTGTGAAAATTCTCATTTGAATATAAAAATATTTATTTATTAAAATCCCAAAAAATATAAACTGAGGAATAAGATCCTGTAAAATCTGCGCGAAATTTAGGCCTGTGAGGTCATGATTGGGAAATTAAATAAAATATCTCGTTTGATTGGCAAAAGTCGGTCTACCACAACTCAACTTTGCCGAAACTCGGTCCAAACTGTTTGGGGTCTTACAATGGGGAAGTTCCAACCACGGAGAAGGTTGTTCAAAGGAGACAACATTCCTCTTTGTTTGACAACATTAACTAATGTACTAACGTAAAATTTTTTTTCTTTTGGCCAACTTAAATGTTGGAACAACATTTTCTGTCGTTGGAACGAACTTCCCGTAGATATAACTTTCCCTGTTGTAACAAACAAATAACATTACTCGCGCTAAACCATTTGGCCCGAGTTTTGTCCGACCTATTTTTGCCCTGACACGTTATTACTATTGTCTCGCTTTTTCTCATTTTCCTCAATAAAACTGCAATTTTTCTGATTTTTAATAATAAATTTTAAGTGAATTTTGGTTTTTTTCTACATATTCTATTTAAAATGTTTTCTCTACCTCCTGAAGTTCAACTTGATATATTAAAATGCCTTAATTTCAACCAATTATTCTCTTTTAAACAAACAAATTTGTACTTTTCCAATTTAATTAATAAATGTGAGGGGGAATTGGCACGAATGAAATTAAATGAAATCTCAATAGTGTGCGAAATAAACTTTTATTTAGATTCATTTTAGATTGACCTTGAACTTCTTGAAAAGTCACATTCATATAAATTCATTAAACCTGGATCTGGTATTTTAAAGTTTACTTTAAATAATCAACTTAAGAAGAAGGTTAGATTAATCGACTATATGAAAGAGGGGTCGGGATCGCTCTTTACTTCCCTAGATTGTTCCTATGCCGTGAGTCATGGGTGAGTGGAGCTCTTCATTCCCATGAAATATTTTCTGACAATGAGGATAGTTATACTATATTCCAAATATATGTAGAAGTTATACACACAACCAACGTTATATGTAGTTCTAATTGCAGAAGCTTTGACTCACGGCATAGGAATAAATACGACCGAATCATAAGCCCTTTCAGATAGTTCCTGGCAATTTTCAATTAAATTACAATTATTTTTCAGTGGCAGACAGCGATAGACAAATTAATTCCGTTGTTTTTGAATAATTTTGGACCTAATAGAAACCTTGCTTGTATGATTAAAGGTTTACAAATTTTTTTAGCGCTTAAGGCGAAAAACTTCATTTTTCCTGATAGTATATCTCCTGGCAGTGAAATAAGTTTTTATTAAGTTCTCTATCTTAAGAATAAGTCTTTTCACTTAAAAAATAAATCAGAGTAAATTTGTTTTTTAAATTTGGGTATATTTTTAAAGTTTTATTCTACACTTGGCCTTCCAAAAATTTTTCGGAAAAGGTATATCACCAAAATTCCCTTAATCCCTCGATATCTTTCGAATTCGCCCAACATCCCTCCATCCAACTCCTCCGATGAAATAAAGCAGCACCGGACATGGAGCAGTTCCTAATACCCGGCACTAGTCACTACTTTTAATTATATTTTTTCTATTTAGACACTTATATTTTAAAATTGCCAACTATTCCAAAAAATATTAAAGAAATGATTGTTATTCGCTGCTGCTTAGAAGAACTTTTTAATTATGCTTTTGACTGTGCTTATTTTTATGAAATTGTATTTAATCCAGAAATGCTTAATATTTTATTTGACAACAACAACAAAACTCTTAAATTTCACATTCAAGAAGCAACTATATCTCCTAACAATAAAATATTTGAAAATTCTTTGAAATTTACTTTAAATTATTTATCAATTTCCCAATTTCTTAACATTCATTTGAAATTTTTTGACATTTCAGAAACTCATACAAATATTTTATTTAATACTTTAATAAATACAGCCAATAAATTACCAAAAATTAATTTTAGTAATTCGAAGTTAACAAAGCTTTATGAACTTTTTATCGAAGTAAGTTACCGAAAATTTTCACTTATAGGTTTTTAATGCGTGGACGGATATGGACATGAGGTGTCATTCGACTCAGCTCGACAATCTGAATCGAATGACACCAAAATCACCGTAATTGGACAGGTTTGGACGAGGCTATGATACAAGAAACAAACAACGCAACCCTATGGGCTTCACATGTCCATATCCATCCACGCATTAAAAACCTCCTATAAGTGAAGAGTAAAATTGTCTAAATAAGTTAAAAATAATTTTTAATTTTTAGTATATAACAACATCTAAAGACTGTTCTAAAATTGTGCCTATTATTATTTTTGATCGAATTTTATTCAGAAATTTTGAATTAAATGAGAGAGCCGAAAAAGTTGAAATAAAGCAATCAGATTATGTAAAATACACAACTTTCCAAATTTCCAATATTTACAATCCAAAAATAAAATTTGCATTTTATAAGGAAGAATTGGATGGGGGAGCTACTTCTTATATTAAAATCCGAAAATTGAAAGAATAAAATTGGGAAATGAATATTTTTATTTGATTTACTAGACAACAAAATTATTTTGAAAATTTTTGTTTTTCATTGACTTTTGATTAAATTATTTTTGTTTTATAAAATTTATTCTTTGAAATAAAGTTTTATTTAAAGAAAATATTAATATTTTACAAAAGGAACAATATGTCTACTAATTTTATATAGAAAATCTACAAGACTAGGCACGGGGATTTCTCTATAATAAATCCTTTCTGTTCTTTCTATTAAATCTGAAAATATTAAAATTTTTGGAAAATTTTTTATTAAATTCTCTTGCCTGTCAGAAAACCAAAAAATCTGTAGATTGAGACAAGAATGTCAAAGGAAAGCTGCAAAAATGTTTGAAATTAGGGTTGGGGTTTTCAAGTCGGATCGACGTTCGTGTCATATTTCGGGCTTTATTTTTATCGAGCCGGCCCAACCGAGTCCTTTTCGGGCCAAAATTTGATGCCCGACTTGATCTTTCGGACCGGACCGGACCCCCAACCCTATATGTATGAAATGGTAAAATATTAAAATGTCAGCTTCTCATAATAATAAAAATTTCAAAAAATTGCCTTTTGTAAGACATGACTTTCAATTTGTGAAAAACACGAACTGAGAATGCCATTTGTCAATAAAGCGCCCTCAACCGTCATTGGGCTTTAATGAAAAAGTTTTAAACATTAAAATATATTTAATTGCCTATATATTCCTCTAGAATAACGCCTTCCAATCTTTCGTATCCTTTCAACATTAACTTTAACTCCTTTATTCCTTTGTTGAGATACAGTGAAAACACAGTCATCTACACGGGCTTTATGAGCAAATCTTTAAATAAGTTTTGGTTAAAAATATTATTTTTTGCCATTTAATCCATAGAGGATTATACACTTATCTACTTAGGAGAGCCTTGGGTAATTAAAGCTTCTATTTCTCGATTAAAGGCAAGTAATTAATTTGGGGTAATCTCCCTCAACTTCCCATCACTTTTACCTAGACTTTTGTAGCCATCTTTCAATTTTGTCAGAATCCAATTCTCCATATTCCATTTCCGAACAATTACCAAATGGCAATAAATGTAAAGCTACATAATTTTTAAATTTTTTATTAATTTTTATTTTTTATTTAAAAATTTAACAACAAACGAGTTAAGGAAAGTTGTTTTCCCGATTCTGTTTCTATTTGAAAGAAGAGTGTCTATATAGAAATTAAAATTGTAAAGTTAAATCCCCCTCCCTCTCCCTTACATTTTCATCAGGCTTTCGATGATAAAACATTTCAACACGTTCAAATTTGAGAGAATTACCGCTTGCTGGTACCAATACCTTAAAAGAAGAATAGTGGGGTTGACTGTAATTATGTCAAAATAGCCTTTATTCCACAAAAAATCTTTCATTTCCGGAATCAAAACTCTCAAAATTCTCTGGCAATTGTTTATACCGCCCCATACCCATTTTTTTGAGGTCAGAGTACATAATGGTAAGTAAAATTTCCTCACTCTTTTTTCTTATTCTTATGAGGGACAAAATAAAAAGGGGAACAAGAAATCCTCCAAAAACTTTACAAAAAACCCCTACATACCAATTCCCCAACTTCCAGTCTATCCATTCTTTTAACCCCATTAACTGTTTGTACAAGAGTATCACCACTAAAACAATTTTTATGTGATAACCCAAATAATTCTTCAAGGCCTGAAGTTTGTTCTGCAGGTGTTGGTTGTTCATTTTGTTTAATAGGTTCGCTATGTTGAAGAGAATGAGGCTTATCTGGTGGAGGTTTTTTTGTTAATTAAAAAATGTAATTTTAATAAAATATATTTTTGTTGCCTTTCTCTCCTTCTCTAGAATCTTCTTTTGCTTCTTCCACCATTTCGCTTGATTCTTTGGTTGTGGGGGTAACAGGCTGGGATGTTGTTGAAGTCGAAGTTTCTGTTGTTTCTTGAGGGTCTGTAACTATTTTTGGGTATATCTCTGAAGTTGTTGTTGGCGAAGGTTCTGTAGTTGCTTCAGACGAAGTTTGAGGTTCGGTTGTCGTTTTGTGGTGTCTTCTATGTTCTGTTGTTGTTTCGAATGTTTGTGGGTGTGTAAAAGGGTCTGTTGTTGTTTTTGAATGTGTTGATGATATCTCTGTTGTTGTTGTTCTGTTTGATACCTCACCAACACTTTTACTTGTCATTGAAATTGTTGTGATAATAGTACTAGACGTTGTAGTACTTGTTTCTTCCTTAGGCTTTTTTGTTCGAGTATGAGGGCGCCAATGCTTGTTAGTTTCATTTTCCTCAGAACTGACTTGATGGGGTTCCTTAATTTTTCCTTCACTATCCCTCCCTCCATTTAAACCAGAGTCCCGATTTCCATTATTTTCTTCTCTAGAAGATTTAGGCTTTTCTCCATGCTCTTCCAATAAAAGTTTCTTTACTGTTTTTGCTTCATTTCCGTTCTCCTCTTTTCTGGAGGATTTTGGAATATTATTTTTCTCTTCATTTAATCCTCTTTCTTCCTGTTCTTCTTCATGTTTTTCTTCTTTTCCTCTATCTCTTCCTTTGAACTTTCCTCTCCTACCTTCCAATCCTCTTTCTTTATTGTCTTCTTTACTCACTCTTTCATTCTCATCTTTTTCCTCCTTCAATCCTCCTCCTCGATTCTCATTTTCAATCACTCCTCCATTTCTTTCGTTTCCTTCCATTCCTCTTCCTCGCTTCTTTTCTGCACTCACACCTCCATTCTCTTCCTTTCCTTGCAATTCTCCTTCTCCTTTCTTTTCTTCACTCACTTTCTTTTCTTCATTCTCTTCTTTTCCTTCTTCCAATCCTTTTCTAGATCCTAATTCTCCTCCTTTTAATTCTTCCAACCCTCTTCCTCGTTCTTTTTCACCGGACACTCTTCCAAATCCACCCTTTCCTCTTCTTCCTTTATTGATTCTTTCTTCACTTGCCTCACTTCTCTCTTCCTTTCCTTTTTTCATTTCTCTTCCCCCAATATTTTCTTCATTGATTACTTTTTTGAGTTCTTCCTTTCCTTCTTCTAATCCTCTCCTACTTGATCCATCCTCTCTTTCCCTTCCTTTCTGTTCTCCACTTTTATTCTTCTCTTCTTCTAATACTCTTCCACTTCTTCCAACCTCTTCCCTTCTATCTTCTATATTCTTTTCATTAGGAAATTTTTCACCCTCCGACTTTTCTTTTCCCAATTCTCTTCCTTTTTCCTTCCTGTCATTGTTTATTGTTCCCTCTGTGTCTTCCTTTCCTTTTTCATATCCTTTTCCTATTCCATCATTTTTCTTCTGACCAGTTTCAGACTTTTCTTCTTTCCCTCTTTCGTCTACTCTTATTTTATTATTTTCTTCCATTCTTTCCTCCAATCCACTACCATTAGTTTCACTCGTTGTTCTTCTCTTTTCTTCCAATCCTCTTCCTTTATTTTCTTCTTTAGATAATCTTCCTTCTCCCTCTCGTTCGTTTAATCCTCTTTCATTCGATTCGCTCTCCTTCTCCCCAAATCCTCTCCCTCTATTACTTTCTTCAGTAGGTATTCTTCCTTCTTCCAGCCCTCTTCCCCTTTCAGTGTTTCCATCTTTTATCCCTTCACTTTCAACCAATCCTTTATCATTTCCATTAGACATTCCTTCTCTTCCCCTTCCTTCCATTCCTCTTCTTCCTTTAAATTCTTCTCTTCCCCTTCTTTCTTCCAAATCTTTTCCAATAGAAGAACCTTTTCTTCCACCATTTGTTAATCCTTTTCCATTTTCTTCTTCAAATTCATCAATTTTCTTCTTTTGTTCATTCCTCCCTTCAACCTCTTCCTTTCCTTTTTTACCCAAAAGCTCTTTACTTTTCTTCAGCTCTTCTTCACTTTCTTCATCCTCTTTTACTTTATTTCCTAAACGATTCTTTTCTATAATCAATTTTTCTCGTTCCGAGTTTTCTTCCATTTCTTTTTCATTTTTCTCATCACTCCCTCCAGCGTTATCAATTTTTATATTATTTTTATTATCTTTCTTCTCGGAATCGTTTCCGGTTAGTTCATTTCCTTCTTTTCTTGTTTCATCATTTTCTTCATTCTCTTTCTTTACAGAAGAACCATTTCCAGACTTAATTTTATTTTCATAACCATCATGTCTATTTCTGTTTAATTTTCTTTTTTGGCCTTCTTTTAATTCATCATTTCCGTCTTCGTCTTCTTTCCTATCTCCTTTTCCTGAACCGCTCCCAAATAATTCACCTCCAGAATTCCTTCCAAATTCTCTTCCACTGTTGACTTTTTCAAAATTTTTCCTCATTTCTTTTCCGGATTCTCTTCCTTCTTTACCAGAAAATTCTCTTTCTCTATCCTTTCCGGAATAGTCTTTTCCGGGGAACCCTTTTCCGAATTCGTTTTCCAATTTATTATTTTCCCCTTCAAAATTATTAAAATTTGGATCCTTCTCCTTTTCTCTATTAACAATTGGTTTCACATCTCCAATTTTATTTTCTTCTTTCTGGGCAGCTTCTGGCATTACTCTTTCTAGTCCTTTTCTACCAGAAGAATTTTCCAAACTCAATTTTCCTTCCATTGTATTTTCCGGTTTTTCACTCCCTTCTTTTGTATTTTCTTCTTCTATTCTTTCCTTATTTGTGTTTTCCTTATTTTTATTTTCTGATTTTGTGTTTTCCGGTTCTGTATTTCCTTTGTTTGTATTTTCTTTTTGTATAAATTCTGGTTTTGTTGTTTCCGGTTTTGTATTTTCCTTTTCTGTCTTTTCCGGTTTTTTATTCTTTTTGTTTGTATTTTCTAATTTTGTGTATTTTAATTTTGTACTCTCAACTTCCGTTTTCTCTTCTTTATTTTCAATTTCTTTGTTTCCTTTCCCCATATTTTCCGGATGTTTAATTTCTTCTCTATCTTTTTCTCTTAAACTTTCCTTATCTTTTTCATTAGTTTCTCCATCAGTTACAGAAATATTATTTTTATTCATTAAAGTACTGCTATTCTTCAAATCTTCCCCATTCTTTAAATTTCCAATTGAAATTACAGTTAAATTATTATTGTTGTTTATATAAACATTGTTGTGTTGGCCAGGACCACTTGCAATGAAAGTAACATTGTTGTGAGTATTTATTAATATATTTGGGGTTTTGTTGAGGGTTTCCGAAGTTGTTATATTAGAGGAAGAATTTGTAGAAATGTGGATTTGTGTATAATTCGGACGATTCTCTGCAGTTGTAGTTGATATTAATGATGGTTCTAGTCTCTAAATATTTTTCTTATAATTAGCTTTTAATGTTCTTATCAGGGATCGCGCCGACAGAAAATCAAATTCACGATTTTCGGGAATCGTGAATCGGGTCGGCGCGATCCCTGGTTCTTATATTGCCCGTATTTTCTTATAATTCCCTCTCGTCTTCTTAGAATGTTTTTATTTCCATATTTTTATTCTTACCATATTGTTTGTTTCATTTTCGATTATTTTTGTTTGTTTATCGGGTGCCAAAACTCCTCCATCTACAACAGTCAACTTTCCCTTAATTATCTTTTCACTTGAATCTTTAATTAAAGTTTTGGATATCTTCTTTTGAGATTCATTCCCACTCAATTTTTGTGTTATCCATTTTTTGAGATTATTATTTTCTTCTTCTTTTTCTTGTCGTTCATCTTCCTCAATGATTACCCTTCTACAGCGTGGACGGCAAATAGTTACTCGATATCCTTCCCTTAAAGATGAAATTTTTTTGAAAAGGGATATTAGAGTACGGGATCAAAATCACAATAATTCCAAAAAGGTCCATTAGAGAGTCCCACAACATACCTTAATCGTCTAATTCCTTTTACAAGAAGAGCAGGTGGACTTTTATATCTCAACAGAAAAAGCCTCATTCTATAATGATATCCTTCCGGGTTTATATGTCCAGGTAATTGGTCGATACTGTTGAGAAGTGTAAAGTGTTCATTTTCTTCTTCCTCCTCTTCCTTTTTGTTGTTGTGTTCCCCTTCTTCCGGTGGGGGAGCATTGGGATCAGGAAGTTCGTAAATGAAACAATCATTGCCTTCGTGACTAGAAAAATTTGGAATTTTAAAATTTCCATCAAAACTTGCCTAGGAATTTCATTCATCTTTTCCTCAAAAGGCGGAATCGCCTCACAGCAAGTATGTGATACAGGGGCCAAAGGAGTAGGTTGATCTACATGAGCAACAAAATTAGCTTTACCCCCACATGCCGGCTGATTTTTTTCGTAATGGCAATGCTATTTATTTAAATTTTAATTTTATTTCCATAAATTATAACTAACAACATCAACATCCCCACAAACATTTAAACGTTGACAATGCATTCGAATTGTATCATTTCCAAAGGATTGCACTACTAAAACTTGATCCCCTTCACAACGATAAGAAATAGCTATTGTTTGAGGTATTGAATTTAATATGGCAAGAATATTAAATAATTGAATAAATGAGGAGGTAATTAATCCATTTAATGAGTTACAGTAATTATTTTGCATTTGGCACTGAAATGGCCGTTAATTGAAAATTAAGGCTTGTGGGGAGAAGAATGAGTTATATTTTGGACCATAACTTTTTTGTGTTCCAAGATATAATTATAAATTTTATATCTTTCTAAAGCTCTAGATGTGCTGATTATTTTTCCTAAAAGGACTTTTCCAGTCAAATCATTCCACAAAAAGTTATGGCCAAATAAATGACGATAATCGTGCTTTTCATGCTTAATTTCTGTTCAACTTTTTAAGAAATGATCAGATTCAATCAATCTAAAAGCAAAAATAATCAGCATATTTAGAGCTTTTGAATAGTACTATAAAAATTATTTAAAATGGTCGAAAACAAGGAAGTTATAAACCAAAAAGTACTCCCTCGATAACGATTTTAGAACAAATTTAAGGTAGAAAAAAACATTTTTTTGCAGAAAAAAATTCAAAAATTAAAACTAAATTTATAAAAAAAAAGAACAAACAAAAATACATTTAAAATACACAAAATTTTGAAAAGAAATAGTAATATTGGCAGTTTTAAGGGTCGCTGAACGGATTAATACCGCTCATACTCATCCTATAATATTGAAGAAATGAGTGGAGATTTAGAGAAATGAGTGAGGGGATTTCTCACGAATGTTGAGGGAAATAAATATAAATTAAATATAGTTTTTAATATTTTTTTAATGATTTGACAATTTGGGAATTGATGTTTTTAGGTAAATAAAAGTTTGGAAATTTTGAGATTCTGAAAAATTTTAAGGGAATTTTTAGTTTAAGATTAAGAGGCATTTAAAATCATCCAAAGTTAACTCTTAATAAATTAAATAAATTTATTTAATAAAAATTCCTTTAAAAATTCCAGCATTAAAGCAATAACATAAAAATAACAAAATTAAAAAAAAAACACAAAAATTAAGCACCTTATTTCCGCGCAGTCGTCAAAAAATAAATTCATGTAGTAAATCTATATTTATTTATTTTTCTTGATCTCCTTTTTAATTCACGGTCAATCGGCTTTGGCGCCACAACCTTTTACATATTTTCTGTTCTTCCTGTCTCTTTCCACACCTTTTCTTCTTTAAAGGAAGTGGATGGATATTTTTTTAAATTAACTTTTTCTTTCCTTTCGATTATTTTTATTTTTTATCAATATTTTAAATGATGGCATGCGACAATCTTCGAAAAAAATAAGCTTTTTAGTGTTAAACCACCCAAATGAGCTTATTGACTGTACCGGTTTATTTTTAATAACGGAAAGAAAGAGAAATTTCTTAAAATAAAAATATTGAAAAGAGATGAATTCTTTAAAATTTAATAGAGACAAATATCACTCTCAATCACAAGATGACTCTCAACCGTGAGATGAAGTACGGTCCTATCTGTGATTATTTTTAAAAATTAAAATTTCCAATCTCAAAATACCCAAAATTTAATTAATAAATTTATTTTTTAAAATCTTTTTTTAATCGAAAAAGGTGCAATGGATTAGTTGGCGATCTAAACAAAACGTAAACACAAATTAATACATTTTAAAAAATTGAGGGAAAATGCTTTTTATTCCTTTCATTTTTTTCTTTTTTTAATTGAAAAAAGGAGAGCAAAAAAATAAATTTGATGTAATTCACCTCTCCGATTTTTGTAAAGAAAAATATAAAGATTGAAGGAAATTGTGTATATATTTTGTCTAGTTTTAATTGTTTTGCTGTTATAAATTAAAGGGGAAGGTATTTAAAAATATGTATTTTATAAAATAAATTTCTTTAAGAAAGCATTGGAAAATATATGTTCGTAGAAAAATCCAAAAGGAAATATGTACAATATACGAATTACAATATGTAGGTCTTTGCAGGGGGCGGCGTGTTGTAATTGATAACACATCAGTCCTCAAACTAAAGATGCTGGTTCGCTCCCGGCCGCTGAATAAGATTTTGCACTAGCTGAAGGAGAGAAATAGCTATAGCCCAGCACAGCTTAAATTCAACTTGATGTTGTGGCCGGGGTTTACTAGCAGTTAAAAGAAAAGAAAATTTCCCCAAGAAGTTTTCCTTGCTAGGTGGTATGCTTCTAAATAGTGAGTTTGCTTTTATTTTTCAACTCTCTCAGGGGTGTGCTTAAACAGGGGATTTTATAATGGAATAAGGTTCTATTAGGAATTTTAGGTTAGTATAAAAGCGCCTTAATAGTTTACGCATAAACCAACACTACAACTCACTGCACTTCGTGACGACAACGCTGTGCTCAATTCAACTAAAGGCCGCTTTTGGTTCGTCGCTGTGCTGCTCACTCTTGCTTTGGCGTCTCAGTACAATGGCCGAGAAACGAGGATGTATCATACAAGGGTTATTTTCTAAACTAACTTTTTTTCTCTTTCAGCTAAGAAGTACATTCATGAGCATGAGGCTACCATCGAGATCCAAGACTCGGACATGGGACTGACGTTCTTCAGTGGGAGCTCGCCGCCGCGGATACAGAAGATCGACATCTTCTCCTACTTCTTTGGATGGTTGTTCGTTGGAGACTGGATCGTGCAGATTGACAAACGTGTAAGCTTCTGCGATTATTAGGGTAATACTCTGTTTAAACGTCACAATTTTTCAGGCCATAAAATCGGCAGAAGACTTCACGGGAGCAACTCAGCATTCTGGCGCTCAACCCAAATCTTTGCTCATCCGTTTCCGCAGGGACGACTACTTCAAAATGGCCACACTCAAGGTCGCAGAAGTCACGCGAAAGCCGAACCGCGTTTCCGTCTTCATGCAGATCAGATGGCGAGAAGATCTCCCAGTTGGGATAGTTGTGGAGAGGAAGGTAATTGATTGAGTAATGAAGGCTTGACATTAATAATAGCTTTCAATTCCAGGGAGCTAATATCATGGTCGCGTCCGTTGAGTCAGGCAGTATAGCTGCGCAGAACATCTTTCCAGGCGACATGTTGATTGACGTTAACGGCAAGGAAGTGAATAACGACGTCTCTGCAGCTAAAAAGGTGTTATTTTTACAAGTAATTTTGTAAACAATTTTCAATCTTTTATTTTACAGGCTATTCGACAGAGTATCATTGAAAAGAAAAATGTGGTACTCAAGCTCGAACGGGATGTCACACCACTGAAGATGATCTCGACTCCAGCCGATGATGTGCTTGCCATACTTAAGCGACAGAGGGGCTTCTGGAAGCGTCGGTCTAAGTTCGAGCCTATTGAAGAGGAAGAACCAGGGAAGCCGAAGAGAGGTACTCGAATAAGTGAAAAGGAGTCATTGGGTAATTCTTTAAATTTCAGTATATCATGTGCCCAACGTTGAGTCCGAGCCATTGCCAGTTGATGATACGGGAAAGAAATTGGTTGCAACACCGAGTCGGGATGGTGGGACGCGCACTGAAGAACCGGTGGAGACGGCCGAGGAGGAACCTGCCACAGAGGGGGAAGAATTCTAAAGAGATAAAAATGAACTGAATATAATATCTAAACTCATATTTTCCTTTGTTGTTACATATCTTGCATTCATTTATATGTTGTATATTTCCTAAATTTCCTTGTGTGTAATATGTACATATGTCTCATAATATATTCTATTAGATTTGTTGTAAATTTGTTTTGTTTTTCGAATAAATTTTTTGTAAAATATTTGGCAATCTTCAATTTTTTCTAATGATCAGTTAGAGAATGAGATTGAGTTGGAAGAATAAATTTTGTAATTAGGAATTTAAATATGCAATTGAAATCATTTAAAAGTGTTTATTGAGAGGAGTTGAATGGTCATGTTTAAGTCGAGAATTTTGGAAGTCCAAGAAGCCAGACTTCTTCCTCGTGGGAAAAAAGGTCCATGGAAAATGTTGGGTATCAGTTTGGGCTTCCAAAAAAAATTCTTCGTGTCGGGCTTCGGGTCGAAAAAGGTCCGTCCATCCCCTGCTTTGTATGAAAATAATTAGAAATTTTTCCTAATTTTAATTTTTAAATAATTTTTATTTTTTTATAAATTAGTTAAAATATCCTCCCCCTCCCCCTTTAATTAATTAAATATATATTTTTATTCCTCCTATATTTTCGTTCTCTCCTTTTTCTGTCAAATTAAATAAAGTTTAAAAAGTTAATTGAATAAGATATTTTTGTCTGTCGAATAAAATCTTGTATTTTTGTTGCATTTTTTAATTTTTATAGTATTTGAGTCTGAATTGAATATTATAGTCTAATCTCGTTTGAAGAGCTAGAACTTTTTGGAAATTGAAGATATGCATAAAAATAAATTTTGTATCAAAAGATAGAGGAGATTCTAGGCTATAAAATAAATATAAAAAATAAAATTATTTTTTCTTTAAAGTTAAGTTAGTTTGATTGACCATTTTACGTTAAATTTTGCTTTTGAAATATTTTGTAAAAAAACAAATTATTTTAAAAAATCAAAACATGTTTTTTGAGATTATTTAATAAAAGATTAATATTTCCAAAATAATGTGGTTGGGAAGAGAAGATGGAAGAACCTGTCTTTAAAAATATGTAATAATCAAAATTTAATAATTTACTACAAGTAAAGTTTGTAATTGTCTTTTTTGACAAGTGCCTTTATTTTTATTTTGAATAAATAAACAAAAATATTTAAAAATTTAAAAATTATTTTTGATTATCCACAGATTTATTAACAAAATATTCAAGACTCTAAAACTTCTCCCTTTTTTATTTAATTAATTTATATACTGGCACTTTTAATTATCGCGTGGTACACGTCTGAAAGGATAAAAAAAGGTAAAAAAAAATAAAGTTAGCCCTGTTGCGGTTTATTTTCAAAGAGAAAAAAACTAAAAATATTCCCAAAAATGTTTTGTCTTTTTAATTCTTTCCATTCATCATTTAATATCAATTTTTATTTTCAATGCCATCTCAACAAGAAAAGAAGCAACAACATTTATCTTCTTATTTACCCCCCTTTTCTGGTTGTTTACTAAACTTTCAGCAGCGAAAGAGAAGAAAAAGAAGAAATAAAAATAATCAAATAATTAATTCTTTTCAATCTAATTTTAATATTTGTGTTTATTCACCCTCCTTCCCCACAACTTCCTCCTCCTTCTCTTCTTTATATCCCATTTCCAAATCTTCACAATTTTATTCCTCATATTCTTCCTCCTTCCCTTTATTTTCTTCCTCCTCTTCATCATTATTTCTCTCTTCTTCAACTCCTTCAACAACCCCCTCTTGTCGAATCCATTCATTCCCTATTTTGATCTCATTTTACATCAACTTAATATTCCTCATTTTACTTCATATATCATTTTCATGGTCATTCCCGACACACCCAAAAATGTCAAAAAATGGCAACATTATTCCAGAGCAACAGGTTGAATTGAAAAATAATTTTTACTAAACACACAATTAAAGCAAAATTATCTTTTATCAATCGACAATGTTGACAAACTCTTTAAACGCGCTGCAATTTTTACCATGCTGAAAGCCAAAGCGCGAGCATCTTTATCAGAAGTTCCACAAGTTGAACGTATTTTATTTAATCAATGTTTAAGTGAATATAAACAAGAACAACTAACACCTGTAATTTATGCAAAATGTTTAGTAAAACTGATTAAGGCAAAAAATCGTTTGAAAGATGCCTACCGTATGACGGAGGAAAATAAAGAGAGAGGTGAATAATAAATAAATGTGCAGGACGGGACGGGAGCCTGTACTTACTGGGGATTTTACGGGATCCCGTCCCGGATCTCGGGTTTTGAAATTAACGGGATTTAAGGGACCAATCCCTCGGGATCCCGATCGTTCAACATTTTGAAATCAAATATTTAAAAATTTCAATTTTAAAGCCATACCACCACAAATCAATCAAAGGAGAATTCAAAGATTTCATCATTTCTATTCAATCTGGAGGAAAAGGAAAGGCAACAAATTAATTAAATTGAGAAAATTGAATAGGCGAAATAAAAGATCAATTTCAACAAGAACTCTATTTGCCAATAAAATGGATTTTGAACTTCCCAAAAATATTCGAAACTTGCGAATTTTGGAAAGGTATGGGAGGACATTGAAGCATTGCAAACGTTTCATTTCAACAATGAATGAGAGAAATGCAAAGTGATTAAAATATTTTTAGTTTATTAGAATATGGGGGGGAGATAATTTGAAGTCTCTAGGTTTTTTTGATATCCTGGCTCTATTATAGTTTAATCCAAATTGCTGAGTCTATTCATCGTATACATTTTATAAATCAATTTTGATTAAACCCTATGAACTTTGACTGAACTTATTCATCGAAAGAAAAATTACTCAGTTATCTCGGTTGGACTAATAAACTGTAATACACTCTGTCAGAAAATTATAAGCACCCTTTAGTTTTTGAATAAAAACATAGTTAAAGTTAAAATACCATAATTTTAAATATTTTTAGGATTTTCTGGTGCATATTGAACAGAAAAAAACAATCATTGATAAATTAAATATGGATAGTAGAGAAAATAAATGAAATTTCGTTAAACGACTGTCAGATAATTATAAGCACCCCTAAGGTTTCGACATTAGGGGTCGTCCGAAAAATCTACAAAAATTCCTGTGAACATATTTAGTGATGTGAATTAAAATACAAAAGAAACTAAGTTCTAACATAACCCCTACATCGAAATCCAAAAACACAAAAATCAATGGAAAACTGAGGATAGACGTCTTTAAAAAATATTTTCGACCCCATACAGGGGAAATAAAAATTTCATTTTGGGCTTATCTGAAAGCCCTTGAAATTTGCTACAAGATAGCATTAATCTTATTTTTCGAAAAAAATTCATCTTTAAGACATAATGTGATAAACTTTCAGGTCATAAAAATCACTCAAACGCCCCCCAAAAAGTGATAAAAATGAAACTTAAAAACTAATTTCATTATTTCTCGAAGAAGAATTTTTTCTAGATTATGAGATGAAATCTATCTTGTAGCAAATTTCAAGGGCTTTCAAATAGGCCCGGAATGAAATTTTTATTTCACCTGTAAGGGGTCGAAAATATTTTTTAAAAACGTCTACCCCCTGTTTTCCGTTGATTTTCGAGTTTGTTGATCGTGATGTAGGGGTTATTTTAGAACTTAGTTTTTTTTTGTATTTTCAATTGACATAACTAGATATGCTTACATGAATTTTTGAAGATTCTTAGAACGACCCCTAATGCCGAAACTTAAGGGGTGCTTATAATTATCTGACAGTCGATTTTTTGGAAATACCAGTTATATCCCCTATTATCCATGAATAATCTATATCTTATTGTTTTTCTTTCGAATAATGAATTAAAAATTCATAAAAAATTTTAAAATTATTTTACTTTAAACTTAAATATGTTTTTACGTAAAAACTAAGGGGTGCTTATCATTTTCTGACAGAGTGTAGAACAAAGTCGGATTTAATATTCATTGGAGCATCTATTAATGAGAAGGGCCATTAGAATTACTTAAAACTTTTAACATTTTTAATGTCATTTATTTTCAAGTTTTCTGGCCAATCTCTTGCCAAATGTCCGTTTGACTCCAAATTCAGCAAATACTCCTTCAAACTTGGATGGACTCCAAGCCCAAATTGAACAATTTACTAAACAATTAACAACCTCAATTAGTGAAGGAAAGTCAAAAGAAGATACTAATTTATCTTTTTTATCCCCCCGCCTCTTCCCTTTATATCCTCGAAAGAAAAAATTAAAAACAACAAAAAACAACAATTTTATAACCAATTTAAATTCAAATATAAGCCAACTACTTTCACCAGATATTTTTGCTTTTCACAACCAAACACTTTCTTTATCCAATTTATTCCCCCTTGAAGCTATTGGACAAAAAGAACAAATAGAGTGGTTAGACTTGTTAATTAATATAACTGGAATGAATAAAATTTTGGGTAATTAGACACTCTAATTAATAAAAAACATTTCTTCTTTAGATCATTTAGTTAATCAATTAAATCCAGAACTTTCCCAACTTGAAACAAAAATTCTTCCAGCAATTAAACAAATTGAAACAAAAGAAAAGGAATGGGGGAAATTAAAAGCTAGTTTAAACAATAAACAAATTGAAATGATAAATAAACTTGGATATACTTATTTATTTGATTGGCAACAAAAAATGATAAAAATAAACGAGAATAATAATTGGAATAATTTAGAAAATGCAGAAAATGCTTTGGAAGAAAAAATTGAAGCAATTGCAAATTTGGGGGAATCAGAAGCTTGGAAAACATTAAATTGTGAGAAAACTTGCTTTGAGCTTTTAAAGAAGCTTGAAAACAAAACAATAACTTAAGTTTACAAAATTGAAATATAAACAAGTTTGAGTAAACTTTTTAAGATTAAGCTTAAAAATTGAATATGAACTTGAATTAAAAAAATTAAATACCGTATTTACTCTAGTAATCCTTCAGTCTTTATTAATTCCCCACCCTAGAGATGGGTTGAAACAATGATCCCCCTGGGGAATTACCAGAGTAAATATGGTAATATTTTTAGATGGCAATGTTCCTTCATTCCAACAAGCAAGAAAAAAACGTCAGGATGCTGGCTTGGCACCAGATACAGAAATTGGCGTTCATCCAATCCCTAGAATATTAACTTTGGAGCCATTTGCTTTTGATACCCGACTGGGGGGTGTTGTGCTAGAGGGCTTATTTTTATCGCCTCACGCATTCTACAGGGAAATAATTTCACCTGAGATATTGACGGTAATTAAAGCAAAACACAAAAAATGTTTCAATTAAATTCTCAGATTCGTTTACTTTCCCCAGTCGCCTTTTACGCAACAATTCTTTCTCCTATGGCTGTATTTGCACGTGTTCTAAGCCCTGAAGTATTCAAAGCTCAAATATTAACACCCCAAGTTTTAGACACTTATACTCTCAGTCCAGAAGCTTTTATGGCAGAAGTGAGAAGCAAAAAGAATTAAATATTATCATAAAAAATTTTTCCCCAAAGGTTCTTTCCCCTGTAGCAGCAGAAGCACGTGTTGCTTCCCCACGTGCTCTATTTGTACAAATTCTCGGCCCATGTAAAAAATTCTAAAAATATTTTATAAAAATATTTTTTCCATTTATAGCCGCAGGCGAAGTAACATTTTTATCTCCAAACTTTTTTGCTGTACTTGTGCTTAGCCCTCATTTTCTTTCTCCACGTATTTACAGCAAAGAACATTACTTGATTGAGGTTTGTAAACAAATTACAAAGATAAGCTCGAATAAAACTTTAATAAAGACTTGTTTTTAAGTGTAGACTAAAAAGTTTTTAAGTGCAAACTTAAAAACAAGTGTAAACTTTAAAACTTGAAATAAGTGAACTTGAAAACTTAAGATTAAGAATAAATTTAAATTAAAATTTAAGAACAATCTTAAACAATTTAAAGATTTTATCTCCTCACATACTTGGTGGTGAGCACAGCTCAGAATCAGAAGAGGATGAACACGAACATTTAGGAGGGGCGGTAAGAGATATTCATAAACATTAAATTCAACAACTTCTAGGTTCGTTTTGTTGGATGGCCTGATCACTCCCATGGTGGAAAAAAGAAAAAAGGGGAAGGTGAAAGTGAGCATAAGGAAGAGGGCGGAGAAAATCAAAATAATAATAAACAAGGGGGAGAGGAAACACATCAACACATGGAGGGTGAACAACATTCAGAAGGAACGGGGCAGCACTCAGACGGGACAGGACAATCAGAAAGTGGAGCACAACGAGTAGAAGCATCGGGTCATCAAAATGTAGGAGCTTCTGAAACTGGACAAAATGGAGCGGGACATGTAGCAGGTATAAATGCTAAGTTCAACAATATTCCTTTAAAATCCTTTAATTGAAGCTGGACACGAAGTTTCTCAAAATGGAGGTATATCAGAGGGGATGTCAGCAGTAGGAAGTTCAGCCTTAGAAAATACTGGACGAGTGGGTGGAACTAGAAAAATTAAATTTATATAATTTCATTTTCTAGCCGTCAATTTAAGTACTTAGGGTGTCAACTATGTTTTGAGTCCCCATTGAGTTAATTGACTTAAATTATAAAAATTCAACAACAAAGTGCAAAAGCGAACAGGAGCCTCCCAATCCAGCTGGTTGATTTTTTAGAGTCTCAATTGCGACAATTAAATTGGAGATCTGAAAACTGAGATATAAATTTTCGAACCTGCATATGTAGTTAAAAGGGGCTCAAAAGTTAGTTGACAACCTAAGTAAGTATTCTTCCTCCACAAAATCCCTGCCAAAATCATTTTTAATAATTTTATTGCAATAAAAATGTGTGAAAAAAATATATTTAAGATAAATACACAGATCAAAACAATTCTTAAGCCTACAACAACTTTAGAATAAGAAAAAAATCCCCGTTTTATTACACATACATACACGTTTATTATCACTATTTAACCATACTTTCCTCTTTTGCTTTTTGTGCTTCTTCAGCAATTACTGCAAGTTGTGTCCCAATTAAATGATTAGGAGGAAGTCCATAACGCTTGAGAAAGTCAGGAATAAGAACACGAGCATCATTGTTTACGTTACAAGGTTCGCCAATAAACCTATCAAATAAATGAACAAATAGTTTTTATAATAAAAGACTTAGGGTTCTAGTTTAGTAGTTCAAAGAAAGTTTAATAGTCCGATAACGGTTTATGAGTCCAATCAAAATTCTATGAGTCCAAACAGATAATGCCTACCAGTGCTAGGTATTGAGCACTTTGTAGTTCCGTGCATATCATTTGCCGAAATCGGTCCGGAAAAACCCCTATACATAAGTCACAATATTCTTATTCAACAACAATAAGTGCATGTGGGTTCCCAATTCCAACAACACAAAAATATGAGAGTAGGTTTGTCGGTTTCAACCCGAACCGAAGGGTTGATTTCGGTTACCGAAAATCTCGGTAGTACTCTCTCTGTACTACTAAACTAGACCAGATCCAAGAATTATTACATCATAAATGAAGTCACAATACGAGATGCAATACTGCTAGCATCAACTTGTTTAATAACTGGTGATTGTTGTTGTTCCACAGGCTTTTGTGATAATGATTTTTGAGATGTTGTGGGTTGTTGTTGAATGACTTTAGCAACTTGTGTTGTTTGTTGAATAGGTTTTGAAGTCTGTTGGACATCCTTCTTTGAATCAACAGTTTTTTGAATGTTCTTAGGTTGTATAGGATCTTTTTGGATAATTTTTTGCGGTTCAGGAAGTTTTTGAACGTTTTTAGGTGGTGGAGGAGGATCCTTTTGAATGATCTTTTGCGGCTCAGAAGTTTTCTGAACGATTTTAGGTGGCTCCTTTGTTTTTTGCTGCTCAGAAGTCTTTGCTGATTTAAAACTCTGCTGGGCTTCTTTTTGCGGCTCAGTGATCTCCTGAACGACATTTGTGGTTGCTTCATTTTGGATGCTTTGCTTTTCAGAAGACTGTTGGTTGCTAACTAATGGCGTCGGATGAACAACTTTTTGAGAATCTGATGTGTTTGTAGACAGCGATTGATTAACCTTTTGCTGTTGAGTATCTTTTTGCAAATCGGATTTCTTCCTGAAAAAATACAATTAGCGAATAAGTATGTTTAAAAATATTTAAGGATTTGAAAAAAGCCCTTGTAAAAATGCAAGTGTATTTCTGCGAAAAAATTACAGGACAAATATTTTGGTTCCACAGGGTAAATTTTTAATTACTTTCGACACTCCAGCGCGAAGCGGAACCAGCCCTAAAAATCTGCAACGCAGCCCTAATTTTTCCAATTTCAACCTCCATACATTTTCTAGAATCCTCAAATTCTACTTATATCAAAGATCAATTGAGATGGAAGTTCTCTCTGTTATTCTTCCTTCCAGAGAAATCGTAAATTTTTAATATCTAACCTTCTCTGGCAGGCTTCATTTATTGATAGTATTCATGGCATTATTAGCCGTTAAATCTACCACTCTCTCGTATATTTACCTAGTTAATTTGAAAGCGGGGCGAAAACAACTGGCCGCAAATTAGCGGACGTGTAGTGATTTAAATAGTTATTAAGGCGAGACATCATTTACAAATGCTTTAATATTTAATACTCGAACTTAGTCTACAGCTAATGCAATGTTTTTAAGAGAACTAACTTTTTTTGTCGCTTTTTGTTTGGTTCTAAGTCACTCTCTGAAGCTTTTCTCTTGGAAGTTTGCCCCTTTTCAATAGTGTTAGCGGGGATACTGACTGGCATCTCTTTTGCGGAAGGCTTTTCCGCGTGAACTTTTGCCTTACAACCACCCTTATCGTTCTTTGACAAATTGTTTAATGCATCGTGATTCTCCTGTTGAACTGAAGCATTTAATTTTCGTTGTAGAACACCAAGTTCTAAATTTTTAAACGATATTTATATGATTTTACTAATAACCTTCTTGTAAAGTCACACATTTACCACATTGCTTATCAGCAAAAAGGTGTATAGCCTTCTCCATCAGATTCTTCTTGGTTGTTATTTCATTAATCTTAAAATGGAATTAATAAAAAAAAGGTACTGTCGCGTTACCAGCACCACCATTTTTTCCATTTTTCCCTTTTTTCTCATTCTCCATCTAATGGTTAAAGTTATATAAAGGTAATACAAACAAATAATTTTATTTAACTTAGAAATTAAAAAAGATAAATGTAATTTATATGGAGGCCAAATTTCTGAAATTTTCGTGCAAATCCATTCAAAAAATGACTTTTTTATATTCTTGTATAAATTCAGCCAGATAAATTTATAAATGATAGCGCAGTTCCTCGATGCCATTTATTTCTCCATTTGGCTGATTCCATAGCCGTTCAATCTTCTGTGTATTGGTTACATGCTTAGGGTTTACGAATTATACGTATGGTTGACTGTAAAGTGGTAATCCTGCTTCCAAAAGTTTTGTGCTTGTAACCTTTCCAACAATCCGAAAATATTGTAGTTCCAGGCATTATCAAAATCTCTTTCATTAAGGTTTTTGGATACGATCTGGAACATAAAAGAACACCATCGACCATATATTCAACAATCATGTTTTCACTTCGTAAATGATATGATTAATCTTTATAATTGGCCAAAACCTAATACCTATCATAATCTTGGCTTATTTACAAGGTATTTGACACAAATACACCGTAGATATTCCAATCAACAGTAGTGTTCGGGCAAATATCCAATTCGCGATCAAAAATTCACCTGATGTCAATTCAAAAACCGAAAAGTAGAGGAAACGCACAACCGTAACAAATAAAATACGACTCGATTCTAACAAATTTCCAACTTTGTTTTAATTTGGAACGACAGGTCGATTTTTGACATCACCATCTAACAATTGTTCCAAAGCTTAACTTCATTCATGACCATTTGCAGATTTTATTTGAAGGAAGAATCTATTCTTGTTGTAGAAATTGTACGGCTCCTTCTTTTGAGGAAGATTAAAAATTTTCATTTATCTGAAACTAAGTTTAAAAAACAAAACATAAAAATGACTACTTTCTCATATTGACTGCTTTTTAACATTTTACCATTAAAAGGATTATAAAGGAGAAGGAGAAAAAGGAAGGAAAAGGAAAAATTGGGGTGCGGATAATGCGATAGTACCAAAAAATATAACAACATACCCTAGATTTTATTAATTTGTTTGAAGGGAAAACAGTTTCAGTCTTTTTTTGTTCGATATTCTGCAAAACGTTTTTTGTGTGTTGAAAGTGGACATATATTCTCCTGGCGAGGAAATTTTATTGTATTCGAAAACACAATAAAGCTGAATATTTTTTTCATTTGAGAACTACTTAGTTTTATCTAATTTGTCATATATTTATGAAAATGACTAACAGTATGATTTAAACCAATCATGAAAGAAGTAAAAGTAGACTTATGTTTATCTTACTATCTTAATTGATCCTAACAATAACAAATTGAATGGGTTTAATCACAAGTATAAATGACGAATGAATTTGATATTTTTTTAAATTAAATTTTGTATCTTGTCTATCATTTATAATAAATTGATAATTACAACTACTAGATGATCAGTATATGATTCAAGACAATAATGAAACAAGTAAAAATAACCTTATAGATATATAGTTTAGAAAACTGAACAATTTCATAAATCTGTTATGCTTATCTTAATTGATCCTAGAAATAACAATTTGGATTTATATGTAGTTAAAAAAACTTATAAGTAGTTAAAAAATTGTCATTATCTTGTTAAGAAATCAAAAATAAAAAATAGAAATGAACAAATATATCTTATTAATAAAGACAAAATTAAGCAGAGAATTTCCTTAATATTTTTCAACCTACTTGAGCAAAATTTTTAAAAATTAGTGGGTGTTAATCACCAGATTTTTCTTATCTTAAAGTTTAATCACAAGTATAAACGGAGAATGAATTTGATATTGATCACAAGTTGGCTATCACCGAGCTGTAAGATATAGCAAAGAACAATGGAAATAATTAAAGTTAGAATAAATCATCGCTCAATTAGAGCAATATATCATCGCCAGGAGATAAAGTGAAATATAATCAATAAACCAACTTGATCTTCACGCATGGATTTGCTCTTAAGTTTGAGTTTTTCCTCCATATCATTCAGTCGTTGTTCAAGGCTTTCCCGTTTTTCTTGTTCAACTTTGAGTTCGTTTCTTGCTGTTTGTGCCTCTTCTTTTTTGCGTCTAAGTTTCTCACGCAACTCCATCTTGGTATGTTTTGCCTCATCAATTTGCGATTTTAACTAAAAAAATCGTGATATAAAATCTTAACAAAAAATCTGAATCACGATAATCGTATATTAAGACGTTAATAACTAAAAATTGCGAAACTACTGAAGATCACATGTTGGCTATCACCGAGCTGTAAGGGAGCTACCCAAAAAAAGAAAAGGGAACCCACACTGAAATTCTATAAATTCAAATTAAATTTAAAAATAGAATAAAAATCATAATTTTACAACGCATCTTAAGGGTATAAGATTTT